ATAAAAATGTTCCTTCTTTCGAGATTCAATGGCGGCCTAAGCTATCACACTCGTCTTTGTGTCTCTTTCCCTGCCTTGAATATAACCTCTCCTAATCCTAATTAATTAACTCCCAACGCTCCAACTCTATCTATACTCTATTTCTTAGGTCACTGTCCCATCATAACTTCAGCATTCGTTGATTATTTTTTTCATCATTATTTTTTCTTAATTTATTGAACCATAATAAACTTAATCTCAGTGTTGTAAAATTATAAGAAATGCTCTCAAGATAAAAATTGTATCTTTGATTCTACGACGAATTCCACGTGATTTTTTGTGTGGTCCTGCATCACACAGTTGACCTGTTGACCTGTGAAGCGTCACCCAAATCTTGCTATAATATCCAATCTCCTTAGTTTCCTAGTAGTCACAAATAAAAATGTATAAACTAAAAAATTAATTTTGAAGTACGAAATATAAATTGAGATTTTGAAAACACAGGCTAGAGTTGATTTAAACATTATGGTAGCTAAACGATGAAGATAGATTAGGACGTGCCTATTGAAAGAAAAGTTGAAAAATAAGTTATGAACAAAGTTAAGGAAGATGTGACATACAAAGTCTACGACAAAACTAAATTATGGGCGTAAAAAAAGGTGTATGATGAAGGTAAGGGCTTTTGGAAGATTGTGTTTGTAAACTAGAATGTTTATTCGACTATGTTTTGTTTTTTAAATTTAATTTAAATCAATCTTACATTTATCTCAAATTGTGTATAAGTAATGGAAAATTTAATTCAGCTTATTAACTAAAGTTATTAAATAATAACAATAATATAAATATTATTTAATTATTATATTAGTTAAATTATACTTTTTAAATATTAAATAATATAAAATCATCTAAGAAATTTAAAATTTAATCAACCTTTTTAAACATGTGAATCAATTTACTTAATCTAATTCAACTTCCAGTTTGAACGAATTAAATAAAAATAAAAACAAAACTTAACTCGGTCAAATCCAACGTTGTTTTTATTAAGTTAATAATGGATTTGACTATGATTAAAATATATCCTGAAAATATATACCTCGTCAACTTATTAAACTTCAATTTTCATCGGCAAATATTTAATAGTATTAGAAATGTATTTAGGTATAACCAATTTTATAAAATACTTAAATAAAACTTGTAATCATTTATTGTTGAATGATATACTAAATTCATTTAAAGACTGACTTTTTTTATCATATTAAAATATAAAAGTTATATATAATTTAAATGAAATTTTATAATCATTCTAATTTTTATTTTTATTTAATGATTCAATTTTTGTTTTTTTCAATTTTCTATTTATTCTCGAACCATCATTCTCTCTTCTATTCGTCTTCATCTACCTTACCCGCAAGATGCATCTAGCGTGATAGGATTGGGATGATAAAGGTCAAGATTTTGTTGATGGTGAGTTGTGTGGAGGTGATTCACCACCGGTGGCTTGCGGTGGAGGGGATTACGACAGGGAGGTGATGAGACGGTTGGTGGGGTAGTCCGCGACGGTGCGTTGTTGTGGCTCTTTATGCCATGCGGTGGTGTTAGGTGTATGGACGAAGAAGATAAAAACAAATAAAGGAAAATGAAAATAGACCAAAAAAAAAAAAAACTTCTATCATATTAAAAATAAAAATATAATTCATTAAATTTAAGATAATTTTAGCTTTGACTCTTAAATATTATATATATATATATATATATATATATATATATAATTTTAAAATTATTTAGTTTGTAATGAATTAGATATGATAAGCAATTTAAAAAAATAGTTTTTGTTCATAATAAAGAAAAGAAAAACAGAGGAAAATTGTGGATTTTTATATTTGTACATATACCAACATAATTTTTAATTTAAAAAAATAGTTTTTAAAAAATCAATACGAAAGGTCATTACAAAAAACATTTTTTTTGTACGTTTATACTTTTCCAAAACTAAAGTGATTAGTTTGCATTTTAGAAAATTAATATGTCGACCTTGGATTTTTACTCTAATTTCCTTTCGTTGAATTTTCCTTTTAGAAAGGGGCACTATTTTCTTCAAGAAAATATACCGAAGCATATATAATCAATTCCGTAACAAGCATTTATGATATCCTTTTCGTGTTGACGATTGAAAGATTCTTTGTACATGTTCCTTTCTTCCACTAATGAGTCCAATACTTATTTTGCTGTCATGACTGAATGTAGATTAAGTGGATGAGCATTATACCACTTACCCAGCTTGACACGTTTTTGGTTCTATCAAGAAGAAGTTATAAATCAAGCACCATAAAGGAGCAATTGGGGACATTAGAAGAGGTGATGTTTCATAAACCACATCATATTCTAAACTTCTATGACACGAAACCCCCCTTTCACTACACACCAAGTGATGTATTTTTTGCCACTAAAGAAATATGATCTTTATCTAACATTTAAATAGGAAAAATATTATTCAAATTAAATTATTAATTTTTTTAATCCATTTAGTTGCTGGTATTGTCTCCATCGCCACCACTAATTGTGCTCACTATAAATTTCAAAGTCAACGGTTTCTCTTGCGTGCTCTTGCCATGCCCCACTACCCTAAGCTACAATAATGAATCTAAAGGAAAAGTGTACGTAATTTCAAAGAAGATAACATTATATTTTGAAATTAAAAAAAAAATAATTACATAATATAAAAAATAAAATGAGAATAAATTGTAAAAAAAAAATTGGACAATCAATCTCTTTTATTGATAATATAGACATATAAGACACATATATTATTCATTAGTTTTTCAAAAACATCATTTAAAAAACCTTACATAAAAGTCAAATTATATTAATTATTGTATTTACTATACTATACCAATATGAGTTGTTAACAAATAATTCATATCACATTATTTATAACGTCTTAAAAAATTTTACTTTTCTGTCAAACTTGAATTCTGTAAAAATCAGTTGCCATTCGTGAAAATGACGATGGAAAAGTGTATATATAAAATGGTCATAATTAAACTGATTTCATTTTCGTCCAACTCAAATTAAAGTTAAATTTAAACGAGGTTAAAGTCAACAAGGGCATTCAATTTTTCTTTTGAGAAATGGCAACTGAAATATGCATTTGAGGAAGTTGGATACAAAACGAAAGTAAGTGATGATTGATGATGAGTGGCCATTAAGCATGCATGAGTTTGGAACACAGTAACAGGGTTGTTCCATCCATTGACTAAAACTGTGACTTTCACTTTCACAATGATGTTTTGGCTTTTCCAAGAGACGCTATCACCTTAACCCCACCACGAACCTTCTCTCGATTAAACAAAAACCGACACGGTTTTCACAAGGAAACCAACCCATTGTCTGGAGAATAGTTTCATGGTTTTTCACGAAGAAGGTGAAATAGAAGATTATTATTTTCCACACTATCGTGATTTTTGGAAAATATAATCACTTTTTTTTTCACGTTGGCTATGAGTGGCTTCACGTAATGGATATGCAAGTTTTAATTTTCCCTGGTGTTGACGTTTTCTTGAGTTGTTCATCATGCTTTAGTGAAACTTTCTTTGAGAAAAGAAAAATCCAAGTTCATTCACCGCGGGAAAAATGAAAACGATTAGTATTTTTCGATAATACTCAATAAAAAATAATAATTATTGTTTATTGGTCAAGATTGACTTAGTAAGAGAAAACTTATAATATCACAACAATGAAGATTGTGTGCGAACCGTCTTTGGTCCAAACAAGAATTATCATATCACAACAACAATGAAAAAGGGATTTGGTAATAATTTTCTCTATTTATTCTTACTTTACTAGGAAAGGGCAAAAAATTAGGGTTTCCTTTTTGCCATTGTTGTTATTGTTTTCTTCAAATCGATTTTGTAAGAGAGGACAAGAGTATGTAGTAGAAGCCGTCTCATTGGACCAACGCTGAATCATATCATTGACCAAGCAGCCATAACAAGTTTCGTATTATTGGTTTAAAATTTAATGAAATATGATTTTGTTAATTTATTTATTAGATTTTTAATGATTGTTATCTTGTACTTTGTTTTAAAATATATCCATGAAAAAAACTAAGATGCATCCACAGTGGAGAGTCCTTTTAAAATGCATTGTATTAGTATAAACGAAGAATTATATAAATGATTTAATATCAATATTTTATTTATTTAAAACAAAAAAAATGCTAATATAAGTAAACTTAACACCCATTTGTTCATTTTAATAACAAAAATAAGTAAACATGCACTAGAACGTTTTTGGGAGGATACATAAAAGAAAAATTAAATAATGATGAGAACAAAAATCACGAAATAGAATATAAAATATATGGTTTTATCTCAACATCGACTCTAGTAATAATGATGCTCAAGTTGAGATTGAATAAACATTTTTTTTAACTATTTTAAAATCAACAACTTACGCTAACTAGTTATTATAAAGGTTGTGTTTGCGTTGACGCAAACAACGATATATTAATTCAGCATAATTTAAAGTAGTGGAGTTATTTAAGTGCTTCAATGTGATTACAAGTCTACACTAAAAATGGCTTTAAAATTCATTGGAAAGGGGAAAGTGAAAATTTTATTCATGGTGGTATAAATATTTAATGGAAAATTCATAACCACGACTAAAAAAATGTTGTTATTGTTTTCTAGATGTAATGAAATATATAAAAAAAAACTGGTAGAAAACAGAAATAGGGAATCGTAATTCTTAAGGAATAATTATTTCTTCAAAGTCAAATTCAAATTCAACCATCTTCCCAAACAAAATTCAAATAAAATAATTATTAGTTTATTCAAGGCTTTATTAGAGATCGATTAAATCGACCCTGTATGAAACCTTGGTTTATGTATATATGTATATTATAATACATATAATAATATTATTATTATTATCGTGGACATCTTTGTAATCTCCTCCACCCAAAACCCTAACTTGTTCGCATTTTCAAAGTTGGAAGCACGGCTTCATAATCAATCCAAACAATGCCCTCCAATTGCGACGGCCACGAGTTGCTCAAGGTGGCACCACTTTTGTCAAAATAAAACTCTAGTTTTTATTTATAAAATAATCATAAGTATCGTTTTATTTTACAAACTTTTATTTCGTTTTTATTTCTAACAATAAATTTATATTATAATTTAATTATTTCATTATAATTTTGAAAATCTCTCTCTATAAATTATAAATCATAATTATTACTTGAATGACAGTGCTTTTAGGAGCCAGGGAAAAGTTTTGTTCGAAGAGAGAATTTATTTAATCTACATTTTCAATTTTTTGTATAAATTATTTTTAATTGTCTATCGCTTAAAATCACCCACATTTTACCTATTTTAAAATTGAATTTCATTTTAAAACATTCCAATAATTAAAAAACATATATTTCTATTTAAATTATTATAGATATAAATATATATAATTTACGCATTTAAAATTATTTTCAATATAAATTTAAATTTCAATACAACTTATATAGTACAAGATCTATGTGTTACAATTTTCAATCATATAAAAATAATTATTTATATTTTACCATACATGTAATAAAATCCTTATATTTGTTAACTAAATATTTTTTGAAAACCAAATCTAATAAATATTGACCATATCTAAAGCATGTCTTAATTTTACTGGTAAGAAATTGATCTCTTGAAATAGTTGAGTAATGGAAATTGCAAATAGAGGTTACCTTCTAGAATTTGTTTTTAATACGTTAGGATCGAATAAAAAGTCGCGCATTTAATAAATTGAAATTTCCCCATTCAAAATTAGGGCTAATAATGAAAAAAATAATAGTGTTAAGTGTTTTATTTACATCATTATTTATTTCGTGGGAGTCAAGGATTACGTCATTTCGTGGAAAGAGCGTTTTCCATGTTTTGTCTTCCGCGTTTGAGAGTTGAGGTGTTGGCCATTGACAGCGAGGACTATTCCATCCCGTACGCGCGCAATTAACGTTGGACCAAATTATTGACTTAATTAATAATTATCCAATTAATTAATAAATAAACCCATTTAATTTATTTTTCAAAATTTAAAAAGTGTTTAAGATTAAGTGCCGAAACGGTATATATAGCAGATAACCGAGGTAAGGAAGGTACAGTCGCGCACAATAATTTTCAAAATTACAACCTTGCCCTTGTCTAAGAGAAAACACGCACAGGGAGAATAGGGAGAGAGTAGAGAGAGAATAGGGAGAGAATAGAGAGAGAATAGGGGGAGAAAGAGACTCAGAAAAAAAAGAAAAAAAGAAAAAATAAAAATCTGGGTTGGGGTTGGTTGTGTTGTGTGAATTGTGGAATGCTGGAGACGGAGTTGCAACGTGCCAGGGTGGTGTGAGATCTCCCGGCGGCACCGAGCATTTCTCCGGCGAGATGGGTTCTGGGCAGATTGGCGGCGGCGGCGGAAACGGTGGTTGTTCTAACGGCGGCAGCGGGAGTTGTTGTGATATGAGTGTGAAGTGTTCGTGTAGGTGGAAATTGGAGAACCAACAGTACTATAAACGGTTATTTTCTTCGGGTTTCGTTTTCTTCTTCGGGTGTTTTGTTTTGTTCGGATCCATTGCCAGCCTCTATGGTTGGGTCGCTTTTTCCCCTTCAGTGCACACCGCTCTCTCCTCTTACGGTTGTCGTGACGACAATGAGGGTTCTTGGTCTATTGGGATTTTCTATGGTGACTCCCCTTTCTCTCTTAAACCCATAGAAGCTGTAAGTTTCTTCTCCTTTTGTCCCCCACTCTTTCATCTGCATGTCTGTGTTAATTCCTCCTTCAAAGTAGTTTTTTTTTTAAAGATAAATTAGTAAAACAAATGAATTTTTTTAAGGTTGTTGGGAGTGCTGGTTTTGTTTTGGTGGAGTGATGGTTGTGAATTATTTTAATTGGGGGTTTGTTTTTGTGATGTGGGTATTTTTGTTTTTTTGGAGGGTGATGGTGGTGTTTATTGTGTGCAGGCGAATGTTTCTAACGATGAGAGTGCTGCTTGGCCTGTCGCCAATCCTGCGGTGACGTGTGCTTCAGTTTCTGATGCTGGTTTCCCTAGTAATTTTGTTGCCGACCCTTTTCTTTTTATTCAGGTAATACTAATAATAATAACAATAGCAATAATAATAGGTTCTTGTTGTCAAACCTTTCCTTCGTCATGTATCTATCTGGTGTTTCTGATTCTGTGAAATAGTTGTTTTAGTTCTTTCCCCTTTTTATTCCTTCTGTGTCAGCATTTTTGAGCGGCAAAATCCTACTTTTTTTTTACTTACTGTTTCGTTTGTCAACTCTGTTTTTGGATTCAGTTATGAATCTTTCGGGATGGAGGTGTTGGAACGTTTAGGGAAACAGTCAAAGATAATACGTCAAGTTATTGTTATTATACTTGTCCGGGTTAACTTGCATGTTTCTGGAGGAAATTGTTTTGGAGCTTTAAATCTGACACGGGGCGATAGTGTTTTTCTGGGTGAGGGTCTGCAAAATTGATGTTGAAGTCATGTGATTTATATTTGTTCGAGGTTTCTTTCTTTTAAAAGTTAGTAGTAAAATTCATTAGAAATTTAACTGACGCAAAAGTTACCTAAAGTTGTTTCAATTTAAAATCAATTTTAGGGACAAAATAAAAATTATAGAACATACAATCTAACATGTGAAAATTTACCAAAAATCATGTTACATTAACATGCTTTTGTTTTGGATAATCCTACGGAAAACCAAACACACAGATAGAGCTTTTTTCTGGCTGACAGCTGGGAGCCTGGACTTATATATATGCAATTAATATTTTCTGAGCTGCTTGAGATGATTCCCTACTTGTTTATTTTATTGAGAAGCCGCTGAAAAGTTGACGGAGTGTTCTGGATATGTCTTATCATAACAATTGAACCGTGAAATGAGATGGAAATTTGTGGTTGGGTAGGGCTTGTGTGACTTCCTGTATTTTGTTCTTATCTGCAAGGTCTTGCTCTTATCTGCAAGATAGCGAGGTCCTTAATAATACTATGTGTCATGCTTAGAAACCATCAGTTGTTTGGACTTTTATGTAACTAATATCAGTATTCTATATAACATGAAACGTAGGCTTCTATACTTGTCATGCTTATAGGATTCTGTATTTAAACAATCATGTTTGTACTTTTAAGTACCTAGTACTAGTATTCTATGTAACGTGAAAAGTAGGCTTCTACATGTGTCGTCAGACTTAGAGAGGGTTCTGTAGTTAAACCATTAGTTATTTGTACTGTGACGTAGGTAATATTAGTATTCTATTTCTATATAACATGAAAAGTAGGCTCTCTACTCACTGTATGTATATCTGTGTGTATTGTAGCACAAGGCATTATCCTTCTTCTTTTCTATTGTAATACTATATTATTTAACCTTCTTTGTTTTAGTGTCACCACTAAGTCAATAGCTTTAATAATGGAGGCTTTCCTTAGTTGCTCTTTTGGTTGTTTGTTTTATGTTGTATAATTGAGAACAAATTTAATAGGAATAGATCCAATGATAAGGGGTGCCGAGAACAGTTCCATAATCTCTATTTTATCTATATTTCCATCCTTAACCTTACATGTTGATTAAACAAATGGGTCTTGTACATGATTTATTGCCAATCTGGTTTTTCTTCTTTTGATAAACTTTGTTTTGAAAAGGAAATAAATCACGTGTGGCTTCAGAGTTCGTTTCTAAATTTATGAACAATGATGCATTAGAATGTAAGTTGAAGTGCTTTACTAGGAGGATGAAAGTGTTTAGTCCTTTTAAGTTTCTTATCAAAGAGCAACCCAATGCACAAGACTCTACCATTGTTGGAAAAATATGCTAAGTGTTGTTGTCAGGGAAAAATGTAATGTAATAGGTGAGATGATGAGTTAGGTTCAATATTGGAGAACAGGGTGCTATTTCTATGGACTTGTTATAACAAAATGAGTCATGCCTTTCAAAGTAAGTTCACTCTTTGAACAATATAATATAAAAAAAAAAACTAGAATGATTTTCTAATCTCCCTCCCCACTCCCCCCCTCATTGTCAACTGCTAATTAAAATTTGTCTGCTAAACTACCTACCAGTTTGTCAATGATTCTGACATCATTGAGACTGCAACAATTATACAGATGTTAGTCTATACTCCATAGTGTCTACTTTTTGTTTTAGTCTGATATATGAATCTCCAAATGAAAAAGTATGATTATTAAAAAAAGTTTATTAATTTTTCTAATACACACAGAAGAATATGAATGATTATGCAGATGGTACCTCCTGAGTGGTGAGAATACTAATGGAGAATAGTTTAATATCTCATTTGAGGTGTCTGCACTTTTGAAGTTTGTTCTTTTCTATATGCATGGATACACATTAAGAACCTATTCACTCATATTGGCATTGCAATTCAGGGAGATACTTTTTACCTGTTCTATGAGACAAAAAATTCAATCACGATGCAAGGTGATATTGGAGTTTCAAAAAGTACTGATAAGGGAGCAACATGGCAACAGCTGGGAATTGCCTTGAATGAGGATTGGCATCTTTCTTATCCGTATGTCTTTGAGCATGATGGCCAGGTATTGTTCATGAAAAATGATGTGCATGTTTAGTTGAACATGATGCATGTGATTTGTTTAATGCTCTTCTACTTCTCAAACTAATTTTTTATTATAATCAATTTTTTACTTGCTTATAACTTCAGATATATATGATGCCCGAGGGCAGCAAGAAGGGAGATCTTCGTCTCTACCGTGCAGTTAACTTCCCTTTGCAGTGGAGTTTGGAAAAGGTTATCATAAAAAAGCCCCTTGTTGATTCTTTTATCATCAATCATGGTGGGAGGTATTGGCTTTTTGGCTCAGATCATAGTGGTTTTGGCTCCAAGAAAAATGGGCAGTTGGAGATTTGGTACGGCAATTCACCTCTTGGTCCTTGGAAACCTCACAAGAAGAATCCCATTTATAACATTGACAAGAGCTTTGGAGCTCGCAATGGAGGCAGGCCATTTAAATATGAAGGAAATCTTTATCGTATGGGTCAGGACTGTGGTGATACATATGGGAGACGGGTGCGTGTTTTTAAGATAGAAACTCTCACTAGTAATGAATACAAAGAAGTTGAAGTACCCTTAGGCTTTGTTGAGTCAAAGAAGGGTCGGAATGCTTGGAATGGTGCTCGACACCATCACTTAGATGTGCAACACCTGCCATCTGGTGGCTGGGTTGGGGTCATGGATGGGGATCGCGTTCCTTCTGGAGATTCAGTCAGGCGATTCACAGTTGGCTGTGCATCTGTCGCAGTTGCTGCTATACTCATTGTACTATTGGGTGTGCTACTTGGATTTGTGAATTGTATTGTTCCTCTAAATTGGTTCATTCACAACTCTGGCAAAAGGAATTTAACTATCCTGTCTTGGGAAAGGTCAAATATTTTCTCTGCAAAGGTAAGGCGGTTTTGCAGCCGCCTGAATCGGGCCCCAACATTTCTACGAGGTAAGATAAAGCATAACGCCTGTGCTAGGAGGTTTATTCTGTCCTTAGTATTTGCTGTGGGGGTTGGATTGATGTGCATTGGAGTGAAAAATATTTATGGTGGTAATGGTTCTGAAGAACCTTACCCGCTGAAAGGGCAATATTCCCAGTTCACATTGTTAACAATGACCTACGATGCTCGACTCTGGAATTTGAAAATGTATGTGAAACACTACTCAAGATGCTCTTCGGTGCGGGAGATAGTGGTGGTGTGGAACAAGGGAGTTCCTCCAAACTTGAGTGATCTAGACTCTGCTGTTCCAGTAAGGATCAGGGTAGAGGAAAAGAACTCCCTGAATAATCGGTTCAGGGCAGATCCATTGATAAAGACACGATCAGTCCTTGAGCTTGATGACGACATTATGATGCCATGTGATGATATCGAGCGTGGTTTTAACGTGTGGCGACAGCACCCTGATCGGATTGTTGGATTCTATCCTCGGCTCATTGAGGGGAGCCCGTTAAAATATAGGGGAGAAAAATATGCTCGGTTGCATAAAGGATACAACATGATTCTTACTGGTGCAGCTTTTATTGATGCTCAAGTAGCTTTCAAGAGGTACTGGAGCAAGGAATCAAAGCAAGGGAGGGAACTGGTGGACAAGTATTTTAACTGTGAAGATGTGTTATTAAATTACTTGTATGCAAATGCAAGCTCATCATCAAGGACTGTTGATTATGTGAAACCAGCTTGGGCAATTGACACCTCAAAGTTTTCTGGTGCTGCTATTAGCCGAAACACGAATGTGCATTATCAGCTAAGAAGCCAGTGCCTGATGAAATTTTCAGAGATGTATGGAGGTTTAGATGGTCGTAAATGGGGATTTGACAGTAGGAAAGATGGTTGGGATGTATAGTAGGGAGTTTTTGTTATAGGTAGGTCCTTGCCAACTTTTGTAATTTTCATCTTTGCGGGTATAAAGTCTTCTTGTTCATACTTGTACCCCAATGTGAATCTTATTTTAGGGGGTTTCAATAGAATGAATGTCTGCAACATGTAAATTGGTTCCATGTTATATTTTTTCCTTTGTGCCTCGAGCCTCTCGGGGTGGTTTGTTATGGAAGGAAACACAGGGAGAGAGAGTGATTGGAGAAGGATTAGACAAATGCAAACATAGGACTATTTCTTAAAGACATTTCTTTCTTAGGAGTTGTAATTCTAGTCCTGCAATTCTAATTTACATTGCTTTTTAAATTACTTTTTGACTATGTCTAAGTCTTTAAAGCTTAAAGGATGGCTTTCTTGTCATCTTGGATTGACTTTGGTTTTTGGTTAAAACTGGGTGAATATGAACTATGACTGTGCATTAGGAAATGCTAGTTTCAATTTTTTTTTTTTAAATTTGATTTTATCATAATTTTTATGCTTATTTTTGTTCCTCGGTTGGGGTTCAAATGCGCATCAATTATTCTCACTCGTATCATGTTAACTTCCATCATCCCACCCTACTCTCCCTTAAAACCATGACTGATTTGTAAATTGCTAAAAATAGATTCTAATGTCGTTTATCAGATAATATGACGAAAGAAATAAAAGTGAAATCTTTATTAATAAATTATATTTTTTAACTTAAAATATTAAAGGTGAGTCTTTTCTTATATATTTATTATTTTATTTTTATACAATCTGATATTTTAATTTCCACTTTAACTCCAACAATAATATCTGTGTGTAGGTGAGTTTTAATTAAACAGTTTGTATTAATATTAGAAAATGTTTATTAAATTATTAACATACTTAGGAAGATTTATCCCTTCAATTTGTTGAATCAATAGTTGAAATATATGATTCTTAAATTATGTACCTGCTCGGAATGACAAAGCAATAATAATTAATAAATGAAGCATACATATTAGTCTTATATATATATATAGTTTTCATGTCATAGGTTTGAATCTTTGATTCTTTTTCTCTAAAATAATATTTTTCACAGAACATGATTAAAATTATGTATCTTAGGTGGGAAATAAAATTTTCCACATGTAAAGAGAAATTTCATGGCAATAAAAATATCATAAAACTTTTATTAGATAACTTATATATATATATAATTTTTATTAGTATTTTTTACTAATAATCAAGTCATTTGTGTTGAACAAATTTTAAGATTTCCTTCCTAGAAATCAGTCCATTATTGCATTGCCAAGATCAAAATTTATTTGAAAGGGATGATATACCTGGTTACTTCCATTAACAGTGACTGCAATTGACAAAGTCCTTAATTTGTAAGGACTCTTATTCCTTTTAATTATCTGAAAAAAAGAAATATTTTATTTAATTATACTTTTCACAGTTAAAATAATATTAATTATATTATTACCTATTAATATCAAAATTATAAGTTATCGAGTTTTTGAATATATTTTTTGTCAGATTCAATTAAATCAAACTATTCTTGATTCTGTGATCAAATGGGTCACATGTATTCATCACCTAATTAAGTTTTGATTGAATTATTGGGTTATTTCAACCAAAGAATATTCTTATTTTTTATATGTTTGTTTTGAAAAAAAAAACAATAAATCCTATCGATTATAATAAAATAATTGTGAAATTTTTAATTTTACCTTTTTTCTTTCACCTATATAATAAAATTTATATTCAAGTTAAAACTATGTTGGATAAGTAAAAATCCAAACACTTGGTGTGCCAAAATAGAAGTACACACTGTAGGTGAAATATATACATAAAAAGAGTTACACAAAGTGGGTTAGGTGGCTACATCCCAATTAAAGTCCATTTTTCCCTATTGAAATGGAGTGATGTGATTGTCCCTTCTAATAGGCTCACCCTATTCAAGTAATTATACTACTTTCTCTTTATTAAATGCAATCATTCATTTTATTTCAAATTAACGTTGCCATTGTTTACAAAACTCACACTACCTCTCTTTCTAATTATATTTTTTCACGCATAAGATTTGAATAAATACATAATTTCACTCAAACTTCTTCATTGAAATATTCTACCAATTTTTCTTATTTAAAAAAAACTATTTAAACAATATTAAAAAAAAATCTCTATCCAGTAAGGCTGTACTTCTTAGAAAAAAAAAATAATAATAATAAAGAAAGTTAAGAACAAATACAAATAAATACTTCATGATAATTATAAATGAGAAATGGAAACGGAGTGATATTTTTATTTTGGTAAAGAAAACAAGTAAAGGAATGTTTGGTTTGCAGTCAAAAGGGTCAAACAAAGCATTGAATCTAATCTAATCCAATTCAATTCAATGTCTCAAGTTAGAGATGATGGGTGTGTCCATTGGACTAATCTATTTGGAAACAGGAAAGTGACAGAAAAGCATGAAATTGCACAAAAGCTTGTAATGATATGCATTATTTATGCAAACACTCCAAAACACCACACCTTCCTTTTCTTTACCTTCTCTTCCCATCCCATGGCATGACAGGTGTTTGCCTTGTTCCTGATTTAGGCATCATAGCCACAAAGAGAGAGAGAAAGAAGGCATGAGAAAATGAATGATCTCCATCATCATTCCTTCCCCATGTGATGTGCCACCCCTCTCTCTAGGGTTTTCAATTTCGATTCCAATCAACCAACCCCAAACCTCAAAGCTCTCACCTTTCGCATCCATTCGCACAATTCCCTGCGCCCTTTTCCTTTTCTCCCAAAAGAGTCTCCGGGGCTTCGCCACTCTTTGACCGTTCCGGGCTCGCCACCCCAGGCCTCTAGAGAGAGAGAGAGAAATAACTGCTTTTCTAGAGAGAGAAAGTGACCATGCCAATGTAGAGTCGAGCATCTTTGTTTTATTTTTTTTTGTTATTGTTCTTGCTTTTGGTGGTGACCGAGCAATGTTGGAAATGGAGAAGGAGTTTGATTCCAAGCTGAAGGTTCAGGGGAATTCATCATCTTCCAATGGTGGAGGCAGTGTCCAGAGATCCAAGAGCTTTGCTTTTAGGGCTCCTCAAGAGAATTACTCTATTCAGGACTTTGAATTGGGCAAGATCTATGGTGTTGGCTCTTATTCTAAGGTCTCATACATGGACTTTTGTTGTTTTTTTAGTGGGTTGATGATGTTGGTTTGCATTATTTTTTCGTTGTGCAATGTTTTGATAGATAATATACATCAATCCTGTAAATGATGTTGGCATTATGGTTACGTGACATAATACATGTTGGTTGCCAGTTGGATACTCGTTGATGCTTATTACGCTGCGGAGATCATTGGGCAATATTGTCATCTTTGTTGCTATCTATTGTTATGAAGCACCCTTTGGTATCTTCATTTGCGAATTTTGATTTGCTGGGGGGATTCTGATTTTACGTTCTGACATGAATGTTTGCTAAAATAATTATGAAGGCTGCTTGTACCTCCACCTGTTCCTATTCTCTCTGAAGATGCTCTCTTCATTTTACAGAATAGGAAAACACTCAACATTTTCTAAGCCGTGTATTGTTTGTTGATGGCTCTAGTGGTATTGTGATGTGTACATGGAATCGTATCATATCGTGAGTTATATTTAAAGATTCAGATTTGGAAATTAATATGTTGTTTTTGTTCAAACAAATAATACCTCTAGATTACCTCTGAAGTAATTATGGAGAATTACGAGTTACATAAGTTACTGAGCTGGAAGTAAAACAAATTATAGACTGTAGAAAATGAAGCAAACTGAATAGATGATTGGCTTGATTTTGTGGGGTTTACCCGCCTGGAACTGACATGAAGCCAATAGTGCATAAAAACAGCATTATATTCCCTCATTGAGTGTACTATTGTGTTGCCTTACTTTTATGGGGAATTTCACTCTGCTTCTGCATGCCTGTAGTAGTGTGTACTTATTAAACTGCTCAAGAATATGTGGCAGCTTACAAGAAAACATATTTTTTCCTCTTTTTTTACTTTCATGTGGTATCCTATATTGGCTTTGTGCTCCCTAACCTGCACACTTTCTGTCAATTGCTCGGTTAATAATTTTGGTTTCTTCTTTATTAAACTATTCTAAAAAATCCTGATAATTAATTAAAGGAAAAATCTCTTATAATTTCTACCATTTTGGGACATTTTTTTGTTATATGGCGAGCAGTTGTTGGATTGGATTTATTTACTCTTGTAAATTATCATCTAATATCTTTCTTATCAAAGGTTGTGAGGGCAAAGAAGAAGGACACAGGAACTGTGTATGCATTGAAGATCATGGATAAAAAATTTATTACCAAAGAGAACAAAACAGCTTATGTGAAATTGGAACGCATTGTGCTAGATCAATTGGATCATCCAGGCATTGTGCGGTTATATTTCACATTTCAAGACTCATTTTCTTTATGTAAGTATTTCTGGGTGTATTTTATCATAACACTTGCTTTTGCCGTGGCTTACTTGTCTCTGTTATCTTCTCGACTCTTCCTTTTACTCACCTTGCTTGCCAAGTTGGTTTATACATTATTTTGACGTTATCTTTTTTTCCCTTCTGTTCCTTTTACATCGGTGAAGACATGGCACTTGAATCCTGTGAAGGTGGAGAACTTTTTGATCAAATAACCAGGGTAAGCTAACATAAAACTTCAAGGCACATGTTCCATGTGCGGGGTATTAATAATTTGTCCAGCTGGACCCAGGTTTCGTCATACATTAGGTCTTTGTGTTAAACATTAAAACAATGACATTTGCTTTGATTTTTATACTCATATAATTTTCTAGAGAGGAAATTAACCATAATTTCTTTTAATATGGGGTTTTCTAAGATTCAGGACAAGTTAGCGTTTATTTATTTATTTATCAATTTTTTGTATATACATAAGGATTCACCAATCTCATATCTTTTAACAGAATATACCTTCAAACATTAAAATCAACCGTAGTTAATGCTAGGAATTTGAAATGTCTCACCTTTAGGTTGAAGATCTATAACCATGCAGTGTGGTGCCAGGTCCATCCCCCTTCCCCTTAATAGTTTTGTTTCTCAAGGTGCATCTGTTCTCCATTCAGAGAATGCTTTTAATTTGATTTCAATTTTTAACTGTTTGTCACTCTTTTAATCCTCAATCCTTTTTTTGTGTAATATCTTCAATTTTCTTTGACTAGCGTGAAGCTGTGAACATCTAAAACATTGACTAAACTTGAGAATTTTGCAGTCTGGGTCAAGATATGGATCCCTTTAATTAATTATGTAGAAGCTTCACATTTGGATCCATAGGAGTGTTAAATGATTTACAATCAAGCATCCTTGTTTCTTTTAAGATATAATATCGTTGCATCCATTGACAAGAATAAGTGAATAGAGCTCACTTTTGCAATTGGAGAGAAGGTATAAGTGTAGTTCAAACCGTAATTGAGTGTATGTTTTTGTCACCATTTGGGCTTTCAATTGATCCACCTATCTATCAAGGTCCACAACAGCCAGTGACTTGTTGCATCTGTAGACAAGAATAAGTGAATAGACTATATATTTTAGATTTTGGAGACCAAGTTATCACTGTCCAAACCATATATTTGAGTGTATCCATTTGTCACCATTTGGGCTTTCAACTGATCTACCTATCTATTAGGGTTCACTTTATTAGCAAAGATCCACCAACAACCAATTCTAGATTTTTCAAGTGGATGGGATTCGACTCCAAAGTTCCTAAATAGTCTTTGGAATAGTAATAGAGGATATAGCAATTAGGATGAGACAATCAATTATAGAAAGTTATAAATAGGATGAGAACTACCAATTGACGGTTTACCTTTACAAATGGCAATAGGCATGCTAATAGAAGGGTTAGGTTTAGGTGGGACCTAAGCTTTAGTAGAAAGGGTTGGACTAGGAGTTGAATTGCAATCAATAGGAAAAATCTCTAGCTTCTAAACATAGACAGCAAGTAGGGAGTAAGTCATATTGGAGGAGCAGAATCGGTTACAACTAAAGATGCCAAAAAAGGTTTATCATCATAGGATATGACATGGAAAGACAGCAAAATGATGCATGATGTAGAATAACATCATTACCCCTTTTGTACTTTGAAATACCCATTAAATGCTCATTTAATTGCTTGAGTGAACAAATTATAATGACTAGGAGAGAGATCATGAACAAAATAAGTGAAACCAAACACTCGACCAAGAATGACATCAAGGGGTTCCTTGGAAAACAAAAGAGAGTAAGAAATCCTATCCCAAAATTGCTGATGGCATTCAAGTTATTAAATAACTAGTGACAAGGATTTCACCCTAAAAGGTAATGCATTTATCAATGGTGTCTAAGTCATATCAATAATATGATGATGTTTATGTTGAGTCACACACCATTTTGTTCTAGTGTTTGAGAGCCCTAATAATTTTACCAAGTTGACATGACTCACTCCAAGGACTTTAAATGTGAAAGACGAACCAATTGCTTCAACTTATTCTAACTTAGACGACCTAGAACAATTCATAGTGGATGAAGGAGGTTGAAGATAATACAGAGTTCATATTTTAGATATTGCTCCTACCCATCTGTCTCAATTTCCAATCTTGTATAAAGAAATAGTCAAGTTTAATTGTTCCAGAACAATGGAGAGAACAAGTTAGTTGATTGATTGAAATCAAGTTGAAGGGGAAACTAGGTACAAATAAGAAGGAATTTTGTGATAACTTTTGAATTGACAAAGCTTAAACAATACCAACTATCATTCCTTTAAAACAATAAAAAAGGGTGATGTGGTGAGGAGATGTAGGTGAGAGGTTAGAAATAAGAAATAGATTACTATCGATATGATTAAAAGTACCAAAATAAAAAAAAATCCATGATCCCACAAATGCAAAGTGAGATAGGTATATATAGTAGGATTACTTCTATGAGTAATAATTGATAAATAGCAATCCGGTTGGGATACCTGAATATAAGACAATTACCTTTTGTGGGAGAAAAAGGATGATTTCCCTTGGAATCTCTTCTGTCATAGCTACTATCCCTACAACCACATATATCTTCGCTTGGTCAAAGTAGTAGGAGTCTCTACCACGATGAGGAAGTGAGAAACTATAAACACAATGAAGGCAAACCAAATATGTAATGGCAATCACAACATCAAGATAAAGAAAAAAAAAAAGACCACGAGCTAAAGATGGCTGGCATGAAATTTGTTGTGACACCACCCAAAAAAACAAGTAGATACTGAAATAGAATATAGGGTTTTAAGGGCCCAGCACTCTAAGTGACTGAAACCCTAACTGGAAACTGAGAAACAACCGACTAAAGAGCTTTGTTGCCTATTTGAGATGAGAAATTCCTTCTTATATACCACTAAATGATTGATACACTTATTATTATATACATAAGGTCTGAATCAATCCCCAAAGTGTTGAAGTTGTAATTAGGGAAACAAGGAAACTAAATGAAACTAAGGAAACAAAGAGAAACGAGAAATAGTATCTTTTAAAATCCCTACATATTATCTCTAGCACAACATCTTAACATGAAAAATGCTTTTCAGCCAAGGGTTTTGCTTGCTGCATTTTGATTATAAAATTTTCATAATGTAAAATAAGCAATCCATACAAACACATATCAATACATATAAAAATGGGATAGCTTATATCATCAATTAAGTTACATTAGAACATTTGTTTCCAAAATACAAATCCATAATACTTACTAGAACAAAGATTCCCAAAAAGATGGCGGTGCTAAAATAGTATTCATCTATGCTCTATTAATAATAACCTATGACCCCCTTGCCTCCAAACAAAATTACTTGTGTACATTCATATTTTCTTTATAATTGTTCATCAGCTGTGTCAGTGGCTTGATAAAAATAGTTGTACTTTTAGTACTGTTTTGAATATAGAAGTTGCTATGCTTGTTGCTGCATGATATCTACTAGCAAGCTTTCTGATTTCTCGGTGCAGAAAGGTCGTCTAACTGAGGCTGAGGCACGGTTCTATGCAGCTGAAGTTGTCGATGCTCTTGAATACATACATAGTTTGGGAGTGATACACCGTGATATTAAGGTAGTTCTGTGGCATGATTATACTGCGTCATTGCCATATATGGCCATGTGAATATTAAATTTCTTCAACTGCAGCCAGAGAACTTATTACTTACTGCTGAAGGACACATTAAAATAGCTGATTTTGGGAGCGTGAAGCCTATGCAGGATAGTCAAATCACTGTCCTTCCAAATGCAACGTCAGGTAAAATAGGAACAATGTGAAAGCTGCTTTTTATAAGTTTTCTTTTATGTTTATATTTATATTTATTTTTCTTTAAATTTCTAGATGACAAAGCCTGCACTTTTGTGGGGACTGCTGCTTATGTTCCTCCAGAGGTTCTTAATTCCTCTCCGGCAACTTTTGGGTAGGGATTAAATTGTCAAGTAATATAGATAAATTTTATGTTATGATAACATTTGAATATAGTCATTCACTTTTATCTAAAAGAATGTGATTGATTGTGCCAGTTTTTCATGCATGTGCATTTTTCACTTCAGTTTGTAACTTTTTTTCTTTTGAAAATCAAGGATTACTTTTACAACTTGCATGTTAACCTTGTTCATGCACTGAGTTTCTTTGTTGCTTTTGTTTATACCAGGTTCCCATATAATAACTTTTGGTTTTTGTTTTTCTGCCCTTTTTGACAACAGAAATGACCTATGGGCACTTGGCTGCACATTATACCAAATGCTTTCAGGAACTTCTCCTTTTAAAGACGCAAGTGAATGGCTTATTTTTCAACGAATTATAGCAAGAGAACTTAGATTTCCAGATTACTTTTCTGACGAAGCAAGAGACCTTATTGACCGTCTGTTGGTTAGTATTATATGATTTTTATATGTTGCTAATTGCTTTAAAAAGCACCCCCTCTCTATTTTTATATATTTAGCTACTCAACTTACAATTAAAATCATAAAGGAGTGTAATGTCCAGAATTAAGGTGTTTCATTTATGACCTTCTTGAAGCAGTATTGTGAGATGGGTGAATTTTGCAAGTTTTTTTCTGTTAGTACCAATGGTCAAATTCATTCCTGTAACCAGTACCCGTTGATTTCTATTGGCTGTCAAGCTTAGGACTTTTCATAGTTTATTCACTTTCATATACTCCAAGCTACTTTTGATGCCTTGCAAATCTAGCCTTTGAGGAAGTCTATGCTGCCTGTGAGGAGGTGGTGGGGTGATGGGTCAGATTGGTGCAGGGTGTGTGCCCTTTTCAATAAATAATATAATAATAACAGGAAGCAAGAAGGTATAGTTTTAGACTCTTATATAACACACAATGGATGCGGTTGATGCTCATTTGAAGGACAATTGGACAACAATTTTGCGTCCTGTCTATTTTATGGAAATAGTTTATGTAAAACACAATTTTGAGGTGTAGAGTGGGGTTTGTGCTGCGTTCCGCCCTTCTCAAGTGACATTACGGATTTTGGCCAAAAATTTATGGGTATTTTCAACTTTTGGGTCAATACTGCGGGACAAAAAATTGTCACCAAACTTATGTCCTGTATGTCTTCTTTTGTTTTATTCTGTCCCATAAGTCCATAACCAATTTTGAAGTCCACATGAAACAAGTATTTTTGTACTGTTTAGTCCTTCCTCCCGGGATTATGTAAATATATTATGCAGACCAGAAATTTTCCATAAGAATATCATCCATGAGTATTTTTTCCAAAAGACATCATGTTATTGTAGATAAGCATTAAAAATCGTACATTAATTGTAATACTAAAATGCATCATTTAATGGTATATGCTATATATATGACAACCTTTATCATGCTTTAAGTTGCATGCCATGGGTTATTTATTTGTGAAATATTAATTTAAAATCAGTGCAATTATAATGCAGGATTTGGACCCCGCCAGGAGACCAGGTGCTGGACCTGATGGTTATACTATTTTAAAATTACACCCATTTTTCAAGGGGGTTGATTGGGATAACTTGAGGGCACAAATTCCTCCAAAACTTGCTCTGGAACCTGGGGTGTGTCTCCCATTTCTTTGCACTTTGAAATGTTAATATGGAGATAAAGAAAAGGAACCTTCATTTCTAGTCCTTGTTATCTGTTGATGAACACAAAATTTCTAACACTTGTATAATTTTCACTTGTAGACTCAGTCACCTGCAGCTGATGATATTCATGATTCATCGTGGAGTCCTTCTCACATTGGGGAAGGTTCTGTGTCTATGACTAGACAGCCTGATGGTGCTACATCTTCTGATGGGACTAGTCACATAGCTAGGCTAGCTTCAATTGATTCCTTTGATTCAAAATGGTAAGTTTACCTTTTCTGGTTAGTGTGTTTTTGCATCTAATCATATTCTAGTGATGGGGAATTGGTATGATGTGTTCACTTCAATAGTAATGGTTTTGTGGAGATCATTACCCTTTATAAATCATGTCACCTTAAAAGGCTCAAATGTCAGTATAATTTTCAAATTAAAGAAAACGTTCAAACCAAAATAATCTGTTGAAGCTATATCCTCTGCGTTTTAATATTTTGCTAAATCATGTATGCTATCTTTTATTTATTTTTTCATACTTTACAATTATTCACATAAACAAAGTGTAGATTTATTTATCATTTTGGAATACATAATCGGAAAAAACTGTTAGTTTTTTTATTCAGTTGCTTTACTCATCCTGAAGACAAAAAATAAAAGCAACGTTGAGGTCTCATTTGATTCAATAATATTAATTTACATTGATGTTTGGTTGTATATTCCCTAATTTCTTCTTCCTTGTAGTGTTTAATTTTAAAAATTGCATCCTCAGAGATAAAAATTCATTCGCACTCAAGCTGAAAAATAACGTAAATCATAAAAATTAAAAGAAAGGCTCGTGTGTACAGTGCTTTAAGTTCACGTTTGCCTGGTTGGTCAGACTGTCAATTTATGCTCATATTATATTATACAGGCAACAATTTTTAGATCCTGGGGAATCTGTTCTTATGATCTCTATGGTTAAGAAACTACAAAAACTAACAAGCAAGAAGGTGCAGCTCATCCTCACCAACAAACCTAAGTTGATCTATGTGGACCCATCAAAGCTAATTGTGAAGGGAAATATAATATGGTCTGATAATCCAAATGATTTAAGCATCCAAGTGACTACTCCATCACATTTCAAGATTTGCACTGTAAGCTTTCTTGACTTGTTCTTGTTATACAATTTGCGCTATTTATAAATATAAAAATAGTATCAGTGAGTTCAAAGTCGGATGGTTGAAACATTCAAGTACGTTACACCTTAGCAAACAGCAAGACCTGAAAGGGCTTTGATTTAAAGTGTATTCATGCTATATTTTGGAAAGTGATTTTCTCTAACTTGTAATACACCACACTTCCCAACTTCTTCATATATAAAATAGTCTTAATTCTAGTGCATTTTGTGTTCCAAACTTCACATTTTTCTTTTTAAATAATGTTGATGCAGCCTAAAAAGGTAATGTCATTTGAAGATGCAAAACAAAGAGCATGGCAGTGGAAAAAGGCAATTGAAGGACTTCAAAACCGGTGAATTTAATCTGGTTTTGAGAACATATTCTTTTAGATATCCTCATATTGTTCAGCAAGAAGGGATAAAACAGTTGACTGCCCAACAATCAATTATTCATTAAAAGAAAACAAATTTGCAGATTTTGGAAGAGGGTTCTAGCTATAATTCCTCAACACAGCTTAATTTTGTGACGAGTTCTTCCATCCTCTTTCTTGCTTCGAAGGGATGATAAAATGTGGAAGTTCTAATTGTAGCTATGTCAGAGGTTGCAGCCAATACTTTGTAAGAAAAGATTTGTTTTTTTTTTTTTTTTAATTTTATATTAATATTTGAGTTGGAAGATGATATCATTTTGGTTGCCATAATGTATGAATCATTCAATTGCTCAATTTATTGTTTCTTCAGCCCGTGGTTAGAAAGTGAAGCCATCTTGAAATCTCAAATGGATTATGTGGCCCTTGGCAATCTGTAAATAATATAGGTTGAATCTGGCAATTCTATGTAGTTTTAAGTATTGAATAGAAATTGATGCTTCTTAACAAGGAAGTTAGAGTGAATTTGGTAAGCTCTGCTGTAAAAGTACATCTGCATAAATTCAATCACTATTTATTTGTGGTGCTGAAAGAATGTGTCCAGAATCTAGATAATGAAACCACATTCAATGAAGAGACACTTTCTTGCACTTGTAACCCATCAAATTTTTTCTCGACGTTAAGATATTTCATCAATCAGTCCACTTGCCACTAATGATCGTGCATTCCGATAACCTTATGGGCGGACATAAATTATATTGCACCCGACTTGGACATGACAATTGAATTCTGCCAACACAACGAAAAGTTCGGTGTGCTGAATTACATGTCCACTTGAGGTCCTTTTTCCTTCGGCCTGACATTTTGCATAAATCTGAGACTATATTAGGCAAAGATGTATCGTCTTTCTTAAAGTCACCACTCCAACATCCAACCACTATTGGTGTATCAGCTTCATTACTGAAAAAAAAAAAACTGTGCAAACGTTCGCCTGAATATTTATTTAAGATCTATGCTACGCTTTGGAGTGTGTTTCAAGACTCATATTTGGAGATAGATTGACTCCAATTGGGACGAGGCACGCAAAATGGCCATGCATAATCAGCATTCTACCGTGAAAAATCTGCTCTCGTATATCATAACTAATTCTACACTAAACCACTTGATTGGGATCCAATTCTTAGATTTGAATGTCATTTTCAAGGAGACTTGGTGTCAGTTGTGTTAAACCGCCGAGGGTTAATATTTTCAATTTGAACAAGATTCTTAAAAAGCCCATACTAATAATAAATAAAAATAGTTATGTATTCTGTTAAGTAAGACATCAACAGAACAGAATATTTATAGTTACTCTCGACAATGATTTTATAGTAATTTTTTGAAGAATTCCTTTACAATGAACAAACTAGATTTAATTTCATATTGGCGCACGCACTCGCAGCAAAATTTTGAATAGAGATACGGATGGCTTTTCAGGGGAACTAGACCAGTAGGTTTCGAGAGTTAGTAACGGAAGGTGAAAAATGCCACTGCCATTGTAACCAGTGGAACAGAGATGTTGTCATCTACTACCTCAGTAATGGGAAGGGACTCCACAATTGTTGCCACGAAAGAAATAAGAGCAACTCTCGGCACAGTGCTTGTCCAATCCAAATGTATGTATCCTAGAACTGAATAGTAGTAGAGCATCCTACATGCAATAATAATATCAAAAGCATCAGTCACAATATCTTTTCCCATTTTATATGTTTATATATTCAGTCATAAAGATAGGAACAAGACTGAAGTTGATCTTTATGTCGATTTCCTAATGAGTAAAAGGAAAAGTTGGGTTGAAAAGTTGGATAAGATTGTTACACACCCAATTGAGACGAAGAATCCAAACACAAGCATAGATATGCTACCGGCCCAACTCTTGTTTTGATTGTAAGGAATCTTCATGGACCCATATCTTCTACCAATGATATCAGCTACACCTGCAAAACCATCAAGTTCAACACTGAAAAACAAAGTAGAAAACCATCACCTAGCCAAGAATGTACAGGAAAGTCTATTTGTTATATTACCATCCCCTCCACTCATCATTGCCAACGAGACCACACCAATCGGAGACTCGCGCCAGAACACAAGAGCACATAAAGTCAGTATCAGAACATAATAAAGAGGACCCCTTAACAATTCTCTGCAGGCAAGAATGAACATTTATTACCTATATCAAATTTGCAGTTTTTCAACAACCCCATGGGCAAATAAAACAAAAACTAGTGACAAAAAAAGAATGGAGAAATTTACAGTGGATCTCCGTCTCTGGTCACTGATTTGATCAGTCCCTCATCTGATGCCAGTGAGAGACCATTCGCCAAAAGCCTCAAGCAATTGACCAGAGGTACAAAAGCGGCAAAGTAGCGAGCCTTAGGGGAGTTGCTATCCTAGCATTAACATCAAAACATTCAGACATAGCAGCATTCAATGCAGTTCACACCTTCCTCGCATGAAAGATAAAAAACCATGATCTGAAACACGGAAATGGGATACCTGAAAATAGGCCAAGAAAACAGAAAAAGCAAGCCAGACAATATATGGACCAGCTTTCTGCTCAGACCCTGCCGAATCAATTACCACGAAACCAAAGAGTCACATCATAGTCAAGCAAGCACCCAAACTTCCACCAACACAAATCACAAAACAAGACCCAGCCAGAGCCCAAATTGAAGTCAACAAAATAAACCTATTTTTGCGGTACCCTTCTCAAGCCTTCAACTTAGGTTTCGCAGAGGATGAATTATTATATTACTTGTAACTTGCATTGGAATCAAAGCCACAACAATTCATTGCTACTAAAAAATTTCTTCCTATGGATGAAAGAAATTGAAACCAATTATGATGTTTTTTTTCAAAAATTAAAATCTCCCTTATAAGCATAGCTTTTATAGAAACTCTCTTCTGACAGTAAAAAAAATAATTAATTTTATTTTCTTATAATTTTCTACAATAATCAATAAATAATTTATCCAACTAAAAAAATACCCTGTTTTGAAAATTGTGTATCTGCATGCAAGCAAAGAAGTGAATGAACAAAGGTTATGGTTTTTTACCTGGTGGAGGATGTTCCTCCGGGTGAGTTCATCAAAAGAACGCACGAGGGCGTAAGCGCCGCCGAGAACACCGACGGTGGCTCCGGCATTGTAGAGCAGATCTTCTGCCGCGGCGGGAGCAACAAACCGGGACACCCTTTGGTCCAAACCAATAGCTGGCGCAACGGGAGAACGTAGAAACCGGACAGTGCCATCTGTTAGTGGCTTGCTCCAACGAAGGAAGGTGGCGCACGGAGGTGGCGTGCGGCGGTGCACGGCGGAAAATAGAAGGAGGTGAGAAGATAAGAGCGTCATGGTTCAAAACACGAACACTAGCAGACAACAAAAATAAATGGAGGGATAATAACCTTTTATTTGTTTCAGTTATCTTTGTTTAAGTAACCATGCCTTATTCAAAAATCTATTCTCCTTATTCGCTTCTTATAATTTTCAACACATAGTAATTCTGACAAAATTTACATACAAACAAAACATTCACATAACCCAATCAAATTATGCTTAGCTTAACAAATTCAATTCACTTCTAATTAATTTCATTAATGAGTTTAGGAGTTTCCTAGTAATAAAAATAGTATATTATTTTAATGGTATCCCAGTTTCTTAAAATAATAGAGTTCTCATATAATCAAGCATCCGAATTAAAAATCTATTAACATTAACCACTGTATAGTTAAAAGGACGAGTACTGAGAAAATGTTAATATTCTATAAAGTGATATTAAAAATTGTGATGATATCATTTGCAAAAGAAAAACTGATATCAAGATGGGAATGTTCTGTTTTTGGGACTTCTTGTTAAGACGATTGTTGTAAAAATGAGCAAAACTAAAATTCATCCCAACACAGTGCAGTATCAGTATTATTGAATGGCACAGTTGGGGTATGGTCTCTGAGAGAAAACAGTGAGTATCTAACGTATATATCATAGATGGCCCATAGAGAGTGAAAGATGAAAGTATCTTGAATAAAGACACGAGCCATGTGGAACCAAACACATTGGGTTTCGTTGGCAGGTTGCACTTCACAGTCTTTATTATTTCACCTGTTTCGTGGGGCCACAATGAACACAACAAAATCAGATGAAATGAACCAGCTACAGAAATAATTACTTCTGCAGTTCCAACTGCACCTTTCCTTTGCCTACGTTGCTTTCACGTGATATTGCCCAACGGATAAAACATAGATATTATTTCATTTTTATTATGATGACATTAAAATTAAAGTTTTACTTTTATCAAAGCAAAACTCCATTGATGATCTAATATTACTGCATTTAAGTTTCTTCTGATAAGAATATCAGTGTTTTAATTTTTTTTTTCCACTTGGTACACTGTGAGTGAAAAATTCCTAACATGGCACATTGATGTTGCATTGCATCCTCTCACTTTATCTTCTCATTTGAGTCTTTTAAAATTGTCAGGTTTTAACCTAAAACTAATTAACATAATTAACTAACACATATAAACTATAGACGAAGAATTAAGGTAAACAAGACTATTCTTAAAAAAAAATTAAAGGTTTATATTTAAAAAATAAAAAAATGATATAATTCAAATTTTCGTACTTCTCCAAAATTTACACAGATAGACTTGAGAGAAAAAGTACAATCAGTATGGTGTGGTGTATATTAAACAGTGGTTCTTACTAGAAAAAAAATTATCTCAACAAATACAAAACTTATAAATATCGTTCTAAATAAATTTATTTAGTTTTATATTTTCAGAATTTGGTGTTTAAGGTTTTATTGTATTCAATATGTAATAGACTACTCTCTTTACTATGACAAATAAAAGAAGAAATGATGAATTCTTGTCTGATTAATTCTTTCAATTTCATAATATTGTTTCGATGTTTGATGTAATTTTTAGTAGTTGTTTTTGGTATTTTTAATATCCTTTTTTATTGTTATATTTCAGTGAATGATAATTATTTATGTGTTATGCATGTTTTTCGAATTTTTAATATATATTTTCTTAATTATTTATTTAACATTTTTATGAATTAATTTTTCTATTTAAAATTTTAATATGTTAATTTGAAAATATTGTAATTAATTTATGTAACAATTAATTTCAAAATAAAATAACTTAAAATGAAAAATTAAAAGTCAAGCCCGATTGACTGAAATAAAATCAAAGGAAGTAACCATCCCAAATAAAAGTGTGGCATGTGGGGGAAAAAGGCGTTTTGTGAGAGCCTAAACTCAGTGTCTGGTTTTTACTAGGTAGTAAGTGTCATTCTGGGAGTGTGTCTGACTCAATATTTCATGCCATATGATTTGTTTGGTCTGTTTGTATGATTAAAGCAGAAGTCAAATGAAACACCATTTACCCACCGACTGTCCCATCAATTACTTTTCTCATTCCATAAGCTACTCTACCACCTAAAAATGTGCTTCCTCAATCATTATAAAATACCACCTATAATATAATATATTATATTATAATTATGATTTAACATAAATATTTTTAAAATATAAATTATATTTTAAATTTATGATAAATAATGTATTTTGTGATATAATATTGGTTTTTGGTTATTGACTATTTCTTTTAAGAAATTACTCGAATTATATTTACAGAATTCACTGTTATTCTGTTTGTGCAGTTCTTCATTTTGCTTTCAAACCTGTTGCCAAGTCTATTATTTTTCAAATTAACAAATAACTAGCAATACCTTAATAAGCCTCCAGGCAATCTATTTGTTTACTTTGCAACAATGACAGAGAAGGTCAAAATTAAAGCATTGTTATGGATTACAACAAAAGCAAGCAAACTTTAAATATTTTGTTTCTACTTGGGTCTTCAAACCCAAAAATGTCACCAACTTCCATTTGCAATGAATGGAGAAGGATGGTGTTCAAAAAAGGAAGCGTAGTAATTCTTCTCCACTAAGATGGGGGGAGAGAGGAAGAAGAAGTCTGTAAGATATATATGTTCTGTGTATGATGATGTGAACTGTTTGGGTATATTGAATATCATGCTTAGAATCACAGTTCTATTTTAACCCAAAATTTTGAAAAGTTTCGAGTTGATTTGGTCATTGTATGAGGGTGTTATTGTAGGTGCAAGCTTTGGAAGTGGAAAGCAATTTGCTGCAAAAAGGGGAGGAAATGGTGGAGTCAACATTTTTGGTCTAATTTGATGCAATATTAGAAGATCATATCTAGAAGTTACAAATCTGGTACAAAATTGGAGGTGCAGATTTGGCATATTCAGGTTTCTTTGTGTATATTTTGGTTGTCATGTTTTTGTAGTGTAAGTTGCAGTATGGTGCTGATGTGATGTGGTAGTAGCACTAACAAATGAAATTTATATATTATGAGTAAAACACAATAACCTTAAAGAGTAAATGAGTTTTCAAATGAAGTGTGAATCCTCACTATTATAATGATCTAGCAAGATAGTATCATTTCCCTCTCTTTAGTTGTTATTTAGTAACAGTTTTGCTCCGGTACATATTGCCCTAGTTTTGTATTAGTGAATATAAAACACCACTTGATTTTAACAATTTTTGGTCTTTAGAGGAGTATTGCTACATTAATGTTTACTTCAGAAAGATCAAAAATCAAAGGAAAGCACAGGTTTTAATACAAATATATGTTTCTATCAATTCAAACATAATTGAAGTAATTTTCAAGTAGTACACAATAACTGTCACCTATTTTATTCAAATGAAATTATTAATACTTAAAAAGAGAGTTTTCCAATCAATTTTTTTGTCTAGGTAAATAAGATAATTTAGTATTCAAAAAAAGTTCTAATAAAGGGGTCTGTAAGGCAAAATTTGGAAATGCCCTTCCTTAAAAGGCAAGAAAAAGAGGCTACAAATACGAAGGTAAACAAAAAAACTTATACAGCTTTTAATTAAAAGGAGGGGCAAAAGGAGGGACAGGAATAAATAATACAAAACTCAATTGGAATGTTAAATCATGATGATGCTTTTTTCCGAGCAAACCGCTGTAACGATTTTGGTAGTTCTTCCTCACCCTCATTATATTTTTTAATTAATTTTTTCATAAAATAAATTTCATTAAAATTAATTGTGACAAGTTTTTTTAAGAACAGTTGATTGTTTGTTCAATGGTGGGTTTACAACAGAATACAATTATTTTTTGCACTTTTCCAATTTTCATCCTATGTCATAAATTAAATCTCCACATGCCTTAATAAATGTCTTGCCATAAAAGATGACAACAGCACATTTTCTTAAATAATGTAACTTGATTCAAAAGCTCCCCCTATTTTTCTGCAACCAAAGACAAACATAAATGTAAGAGGTTATCAATTGGATCAAGAAACGAAAATAAGGAAAATGGAAAAATATCCAAATATGTGCCACTTCAATGGATCCCATCACATCGTAGCTACAACAATCCAACCTAGTGGATTTTCAAATTTAACGAAGCTATTTGATTATTCCTAATGTTTCTATTAAAATTACATAGCAATGATGGTCTTGAGGTTAAAAATTTTGACACAAAATAAAAGTAAATGATCGTAATATCAGTCAAGTGGCTAAATATACAAGGGCTTAAATAAATGTTGATACAACAGGACAGCATTGAATACTGAATCAAGAATGTGAATGTGATCACATATCAAGTGGTCCCCAAACATTTTGATCATCATAAGACTGGGGATCTCTTAACACAGCTTTAAACCTTGGTCTTGCTGGTTGGTCTTTGCCCATGGGGAAGTTCCAAAATGAATCAGAGTTCTCAAAGAATATGTAAAATGCAACAGCTGATGCTAAAAATAGTCCCAAAAGCACCAAATAGATCTGCCACTCTGCAGGTTTAAAAGGATATTTAAAAAGTCAAATTGAATAATATTATTGTATACAATTAGAAGGAAGAAGGGATGTGTGCCTGTGTGCGAGTATATGTGAGCAAGAAAGAGAACCTTTCCAATCTTTAGGTACAGTCAGCTTAGTGACTAGCGCTCCCCATTCTACTGAGGTTGTCAGCACAACCCTGAATAAGAAAAGCCCGGGTGAGTATACAAGACAATAAAAGTAGATTCATTAGGCTAATTTACTCAGTCTACATAAATCATTACCAAATTAATGTTCCAATATTCAAATGAATAGCTTAATCCCAACTTTGTGTTCAATTTTGAAAAAGGAGGTTTCAGCAATTTACTAAAAGCCTACACGAGTTGATATTTATCAAAGGTGCCAAATTAAACAAATAGAGCATAGGGATTACCTTTCCCCGGGGCAGAACTCAAGTGATGAAATATTTGTACCAAGATGCAGTCTTCTGCTATAATGGTATATCTGCATTTTCTTTACTTCAACTACACATAAGTCTCCATCTTTACTGCCCCTGGATTCAAATAAGTTTGGTAAGTTGAATAAATTCGGGAGACATATGCCATATACAAGTTAACTCAAACCATATCACAAGCTTGCAGGCCAAAATAAAAGAAATAAAACTTCTAAATCCTCAAGATAAGACTTGCAATAGTCACGTGTCTGGACAAATTTTCAAAATAAAAAAGATTAAAGAAGAATGTTGACCAATGACCAGACATAAGCCAAAAATTCAGAAGGTAACTGTAGATCTTACAGAGAAAGGTATTTCCCATCTTGGCTAATGGACATTACTGAAGCAGACTTTTTAATGAGCCTCTTGTGCCCAATTTTATTCCACGTGCTAATATCATAAACTGCAGTGACTGATGTATCACCTGGACAAGACAGAAGAATCTATAATAAAGGCCATGCTTTGCTGGTCAAATAGATTTGAAGAATATACAAATTAATACTATAGAAAACACTAGAAACTAGATACTCCTATACCTTTTTGAACAGTGCAAAATAGAAATGGTTTGGTTCCATCCTTGGAAAATCGACACAGTTCAATCTTTTCATCCTAAAGTGACAAAACGAAATATTTGGATCATGTGATACAAGTAACTGCTTACAACTCTTGCCATAGATTCTTAAATCAAATATACCATACCGAGTGGCGAGACAAAGTAGTCAAAGGAACACCATCTTCAATCTTCCAGATTCTTGCTGGCCCATCAGTAGAAGTCGAAGCTAGAAATTCTGAGTCTAGACTTAAGAATGAGAAAAATGAAGAAAGTTTCAGGCTTAAGGTATTTTTACAATGTAACATACTTTTGTTATCTTGAAGATTATATCCACACAGTCAAGTAATTGTAGGCATGAAAATGCAAAGCAAAAATGATCTAATCTGGATGTAAAAAGTCCAAATAAGATTACTTTAGTCACCAACATTATCAAATTTTTTTAAAAATTTACTGTAGGTGTGGATTAATGTATCTTTTAGTAGGATCCAACTACATTTGTTCACTATACCTACCTAAAATCCATATCCCGGAACGATTTGTGTGCTCTTGGTTCATCCAAAATCAAGCTCATAACAGGCCACTCCATAATTCTGAGATGTCCATCCTACACTTGTTAAAGAGAAAAAGTCAAACATATAGGATCAAATCCAAAGTGCTGCAGAACCATTTGGTTGGATTCTAGAGCGATGCTTACCAACCCACCAGCAGCAAATTTAGACCCATCAACACTAAAACTAATGCATTTCTGGGGACCAATACCCTGTAGAGGAGTGAGTTCCTTAGCCAACAACTTCATGTTTATTTCACGACCATACAGCTCAAACAATCTACAAGCCATGGACAAATAATTCAATATGTATATATATATGTATATATCTATTTGAATGAAGTACCATGAGAAGATTGCACACTCACGACTAGACATCTAGAGGCTAGGGCATGAAGTTTGTAGGCTGGAACAGACATGGGTGGGTAATCAAACATCCAGACTGAATATGCTTTTATGTCATATTAGAATTGAAAATAAAATGGGTCTAAGTCAACCTCGAATGTTAACTCAAGTGGGGAGGATTGCCAAAGTCCTTATTATAAAGTGTACTTTGGCCATATAACCAACTGATGTAGTATCTTTACACGGTATCCAAAAAAGACAGAAATCATATGATGAAAATAAGTCAAGGAAAAAATTCAGCTATCTATACTTCAGAATCAACAATAACTACTATGTCATACACTCACCTAGTTCCCGGGAAACAAAGGAACTACAAACTGAGCAAAAGAAATATGGTATACAGTTTTATCTTGCCCATTGAATAGTTAAAGGAAGATAATATTTTCGACGTCTGATTTTGAGATTATTGAAAATGGAAGGAACTGCTAATTTTAGATATGCAAGTTGATACACGGCACTAAGGTATTTCAATGGATGAATATATATAGAAGAACAAAGTTTCAATTCCAAAGCTCGGACAAAAGGAACTTACTTGCAACTACCATTGCTGAAGGAACACACAAAATCATCCCCGCTAGGGTGAACCGCAATAGCATCAGGATCACCTTCTTCTGCTTCTAACACATAGGTGGTCTGAAATATCAAACAAATAAAAACATCATTAAAATCAAAGCAAAAGCCCATTCGTACTTTGCTCTCAGCAACCATAAAAATATTTTTCAACATTTTGTGCACAATATAATATCTACTAGCATCAACCATGTGCCTCAGGGAGGAAAACATAAACAGTTTCTAAGCCAAAAAAACAAAAACGAATATGCACAAAAAAACTCATATTTCGATTGTCTCACTCCACAGAATCTACATGCTCAGACATCCACAAACACTGCACATAAAGGAAGCAACAGTTTTTCAACTTACATTAAAAGGGGTCTGGACAAAACAAATTAATGTTTAAAATGGGTCACATTATACAAAATATAGGACAAATTACACGCGCCCGTGCATGCATAAACACACAAAACACACACGTATGTTCAGAGTTTTAGAGATATACCAGAGGAGAAGTCGACAAAGAAGTGGTCTTAGGATCGAAAGAGAAAATCTCGATGAGAGCGGGACAAGAATTGCCACGTCTGGACCTTCCTAACACCACCAAATTCAAATTCTCTGGCCTCCGAATCCACGACCCACACGTAACCGGACCCCGCGGTGACCCTGCATCAATCCCCATCGAAAGTGTTCGAAAATTGAATGCCCAGATCCCAAGTTCGCTTCCTTTTCCTTTTCCAATTCAGAGATCGCTGAATTAATTCTTCAGCAAATTTAAATAGAAATGTCAAAGAAGAAGAAGACAACCTCAGGAAAAAAAGAGGAAGTAAAAAAGCATAGAAAATGGCTTTGCCCTGTTTTATTTAATTACTACTTAACAGCAAATTCAAAAGACGCTTTCGAAACAGACATGTCTCACCTTTTAATGTGAGTAGTAGTATGATTCTATGGATGTTCGATTATAGGGTTTTACGATGATGTTGCTTGAACGAAACATGAAACAAAAAGATTTAGAAAATAAAAAAGCTTATAGAAAATTTAGGGCTGGAAAACTTGAAGCGATTTGTTTAATGGAGGATGGGTCCAGCCAGCAATAGGATGATGGAAGAAACATTGTCAACTATGGAAATATTCGCTAAAGATTCCGCGGCATTAGCGCGACCTCGTGTACTGTGTGCCGTATGGGGACAATAGAACAAGTTGGTGCCCATATCATGTTGGAGTAAATTTGGATTACTAGTTAAGCCTAATTCGCCAATTTCTTCTGATATAAAAATTGTTTCACAGTGTTTTGTGTATATGCAGAGGATTACACTGATTTAAATTATTAATTTTCGTTTACGATACCTAATTTTATTCCAATGGAACCAATGATAAGCTTGGTCACCCTAAAAATTCATATTAGATGGAAACAGAGATAAGTGACGAACCTCACCACGAAGACGCGTAGGGCATGGTACTGCACTGGGGATTAGGGGAGTAGGTTTTGGAAGATGGGATTTTATATATCTTATTCTTTCATCCAGTCACGCTGAGCGGGATAGATTTATCTTTTATGTCTATTTAATCTGAAATTTTGATAAGATTATTTGTTTGAATTAAAATTTGATTTCATTCAAAATTATCGTATGGAGTAAATAATATATATATATATATATATATATATATATATATATATATATATAATTTGATTTCTTTATTAAATAATATCATTAAAAGTTAAATTTAAGTGTAATTACAAATTAAAATAACATATTTAAAAATTGGGTGATTGAGTTTACTATTTAAAACGCACTTTAAAAAAAACATTTTTTCCTAAAATATGTATAAATAACAGATAAAAATAATTACACATACCAAAAAAATGAAGAAAATTTAAATATTAATTATTTATTTTATTATTTTTATGAACGTTAATTAATTTAGTTCCTATAATTTTAAACTTCTAACTTACCTCTATATATATCAAATTTCTATTAAGTAGACTACGTATTTAGTATTTTTTTTTTTAAATAGTGGTTTCATTTTCACACACATCAAAGTATTCAAATACTAGGTGCATAATTAATTACATAAAAATTAATTTTATTTTTTATTTGACGAATATAATTAGATAAATTTCAAAAAATATTTTTGTGATGTTTTTTGTATTTTTCTACAGTGTTAAAAAAAATACAGAAATGACTTTCAGTTTGATAATAAATAAATAAATAATTAAAGAGAATGGAAAATAAGAAAATAATAATCTACAATTATCAATAAAAGTCATAACAAATAATCCATATATTTCTTATATATTTAAATATTTTATTAATATTTATTTTTCTTTCTATTTTCTATTTTTTTATCAGTTAAAATATAACATATATAATAATATATAAATTGAATTTATTTTAATGATGACTTTTTTTATTTTAGCATTATTTTTAGTGTTAATTTAAATATTTTAAAATGAATTAGTGTAACTTTTTTTGTCAGTATTAAATTATACGATAAAAGTGACATATAACAGTAACCAATAATATTTGTTGATGTAATATTTATATTACGTGTATACATTATTAATAATATGGCGGAAGATATAAATCTGTTAATATTATCACAAACCTTCAAAATTTTGATCTAATGAATGAAAATAATAAATTCAATTTCAAATAATAAACTAAATTGTTAATGAGAACCATAATAATAAAATAAAATTGAAAATATAAATAAAAAATATATAATCTATTTTAAATATCTTATTAATATATTTTTTCTTGTTAAATATCTATATATTATTTATTTATTTATTTATATATCTCTTGTTTTTACTGGTGCACATGCATTATTTTTCTTACAAAATTATTCCCTAAAAAACCATTTTGGTGGAAATTGTGAGTGGAAACAATCATGATGGCACATACCTACCCCATAATCCCATCCCTGTTCTTTTCCAATTATAATAATATTAATAACTATAAAATTGTGTATTATATATACTTTTAAAAATACAGAATAATAGGATAAAAAATGAATATTGAAAGATTTATTAATTAGCAAAAAAAGTAAATAACCAAAGATACAAATATTTGAAAGTAGTTATAAAAATTAAATTAAATATAAAATTGTATACTAACTAATTATATTTTTTAAAATATGATTACAGATAGTAAAAATAATAAATATAATAATAATAATAATAATAAATCACACTGATAATATTTATAATATTTGTCTACAACTTTATTTTTCTTATATTAGGAATATTTATTTTCTTATTTGATGAATATAATTAAATAAATTTTACAAGTTTTATTATATTCTAGTTTAAATTTATATTTCTAAATAAAGGAATAATAATTAACCTCTTTCGAGTAAACCCCACTCTGCTATTTTCCTCTTTCAATAATAATAACTAGGAAAATTTTTATTTTATATTAAAAAAAATATTTTGGATCTAAATAATGTTGAAAGAGTTATTAAGTAATCATAGAAGTAAATAGTGGAAGAGAATAGTATTTGGAAGCAATTATAAAATTAAATAAAATGTAAAAATGTGTAGACTAGTTATTATATTTTTATATATTGTTATATATAATAAAATAATTAACAAACAATATAATTATTGTAATATTTATTTTTATTAATTAAATAACCATAAAGATAAATAATTTTTACCTTTTCCTTCTTATTTATCTTACTTTAAAATGTTTATTTTAACTTTATTTCTCATCCACGTACTTTTCCTCTCTCAATTTTCTTATACTCTATCAAACATTATCTTAATTTTTGTTTTATATAAAATACAATAACCATGAAATTAAAATACGTCATACAAAAAAGACTTATCTAATATTTATAATTTTTCAACATGTGTTAAAGTAAAATTTAATAACATTTAGAAGAATTTACTTGATAATGGTGCTAATTTTTTAATAAGTTTTTTATTAAGTAAAATCTAAACTGGTTTTGTAAAACAAGTTTAATATACTATTTCCTACAAACAAACAAAAACTAACATGTATTTTATATGCGATGAATATAATGTTAAAAGAAGCTTAAATAATAGGTCACTGATATTTGTATACAGTAAAAATTAACAATGTCACATATTTAAATAATGTGGAGATAGAAAAAAAATGATCTCAGTTTGATTCTTAAAACTTACATACATTGATTACTAATTTGTTCATATTAAATGTTAAATAGCCATCGTATTAAATATACAAACTTTTAATATCAATTAGTTAGTTAAAAAAATTAATTTAAATTTTACAATAATGTTTTAGACACGGACTTTTTTTATAAATATTATTTTAAAAAACATTTCTCAAAACTGGCATATCTATAATATTATTTTCCTATCTAACACCATTTACTATTCATGTTTGGAATTCAATTATTAGGGAATCGAATTTTGAACTATCATTTCTAATTTTTTTTTCCAGTAAAATTTGATCCCGAGAATCGAATTCTGAATTATCATTTTTTTTCCAGTCAGAATTTGTTCTTTAAAAACCATATTTTGAACTACCATTTTGAAAAATCAGTTCAAAATCTAGCTTCACCGATACCCAATTCTGAACTAGCACAGTAAATAGTACTAGTTGGGTAAATAATGTTAGAGAGATGTTGTTTTGAAAAAAAAAATATATATATATATATATATATATATATATATATTAATTATGTAAAAAAACCCACTTGAAGGTCAAAGAAATATTTTTCAAAAACAAATAAAGTGATTGGGAATGCAATTTTGAGGATAAGAATTTAGGAATATCATATTTTCATGTTTGTAACGAGATTTAAAACTTTTTTTTGAATATTGATTATTTTTACAAGAATAAATTATGGTTTTTATTTTGTTCTCTGGAAAAAAAAGTTATATTCTCGTTAGAAAAATGAAAATAATTTTTAATCTTATTAAGATTTAAGGTTTAAGAAAAATGTAAAAGAACCCACGAATAGAATATTATATATATATATATATATATATATATATATATATATATAATTATGTTCAACAATTAACTATTTCTTAAAGTAAAAAAAATGACAATTTTTAATGTATTTTTAAATACACTCTTTTCTAGTACCGGTTGAATTATATGAAAATTTATGCATTTCGATGAATATCAACTCTTGGAAAGAACGATGTTAGAGTTTTATCGTGAGTTCTAAGATACTTGCACGTGATTCAACAAAATAATTATGCGATGCGATGAAAACTGAAAAAGATATTGTCTTATGGTTTTGATTCGACTCTTTACCCTCACAACAAAATACAAAGTGAGAAGAAGGAGAAAATAAGAACATCAGTATCAAATCCAAACAAAACCCAGTGCAGTGTTGCAGTGTGCCACTGAACTCAGACAAAATTTACGTACAAAATAAAATATTCACATAACCCAATCAAATTATTCTTAGCTTAAAAAATTAAATTCACTTCTAATTAATTTCATTAATGAGTTTAGGAGTTTCCTACTAATAAAAATAGTATATTATTATAATGGTATCCCAGTTTTTTAAAAATAATAGAGTTCTCAATATAATCAAGTATCCGAATTAAAAATCTATCAACATTAACCACTGTATAGTTTAACAATTCTGTGAGTCATATGATGAGCTAAAATACATTTTGAGCATAAAAGGACGAGTACTGAGAAAATGTTAATATTCTATAAAGTGATATTAAAAACAGTGAGTATCTAATGTATAATATCAGAGATGGCCTCTGACAAAAAACTAATACAGCTTATAATTAAAAGGAGGGGCAGTAATAAATAATACAAAACTCGATTGGAAAGTTAAATCACGACGATGCTTTTTTACGAGCAAACCGCTGTAACGATTTTGGTAGTTCCTCACCCTCATTAGTTTTCTGTTTCTTTCTTGATATGTTTTCCTCTTGAATTTTCTGCTCCAAGTAAGGCCTCTTCACTCTAGCAACTGCTTCTTGCTTTTTCTGTACCCTTTTACCAGACTTGTTTCTTCCTTTTGTCTTTTTCTTCAGTTTCATGCCCTTAGCAGCTTCAAGGGCAGCTTCTATCTCAGCCTCCCTCTCTTGCTTTGTTGGCCTCTCTTTTTTTGGTTTTACTGTACCAATCTTGCTGGGATCCAGCATAATAGTCTCAGGTGGGAGTTTATCAAGAAGTGATCGTATTTCCTTTTCTCTCCTCTGTTTGGAAGTTTCAAACGGGTTCGCAACCCATGAGTCAAAGTTGGGTTCTCCAGCTCCTGGAATAAGAATACTAGACCAGCCCATGGAATGCCCTATACCTAGAACATCTTCATATGGTCGAAATACTAATTCTCCTATCTGGTAACCTTTTACCATGGAATGAGTCATGTACTTGGAATAATTCTGTGTACCAGAAACATCACGCAGAACCTGGATCAATGAACCATTACCACAAGCAAGTAAACCCTTTTGACTAAAATCTAGAGTATTTGCATGACCTGGTAAGGTTTGAAGAACCTCAAATTTCCTCAAGTCCCAAAGCTTAACTTTTTTATCTTTTCCCGCAGTGGCCATCAAATGGCCATTTGGGTGAAATGCCAGCGCTGAGACAGGCCCATGATGACATAGCATCTTGACAAGAGGAGCAGAACTGGTTGGCTTCCACATGGTAACAGTACCACCTGAGTGACCTAAAGAAACAACTCCATTGAAGGGGTTTACTTGCATCGCATTTGTGCGTCCTATGCCAGTTCGAAAATTACCAACCATTGACCCCATTGTAACATCCTGATAGCGAAGTTGCCCAAACTTATTGATTGTAGCCAAGAGAAAATGGTTTTTCAGGAACTGAAGCCTTAATACTGGACCATGTTCCTGGAAAAAAAGGAAACAGTTTGTCCCATAAGGATGCATCCCATGTGTCCACACTCTTATATTATACCAAAAGTATTACATTCCTCTTGATGTACATCAAAATTGACATAATATATACACTTTAAAAATATAGGATAATAAAAACGAACCATTATTTATATTCTTAAAATTGTTTAATTTGACAAACTCAACATAAACAATCAAAGTAATATGTAATTGTGTATGTGTGTGTGAGTGTGTGTGTGTGTGTGTGTGTGAGAGAGAGAGAGAGAGGTGTACCAAGTGAAAACTCTGGGTTATTGTGAGAAATATATATAAAGGGTGTAAGAGTTGGTGACCTAATGTGGTGCAAATTGATCCCTCGAATATAAAGGGGGTGCATCAATTGAGAACTCCTCTTATTTATAAAGAATGAAAACTATGAATCTTAGTCATACAATCATATATGGATGGTCAAGATGAAAAGTTAACAAGTTGTCAGATAACCATTTAAAAGATTATGTGCATTTATCTTAGTCTTTGATCATTCAAATATGACTAGTTGCCCAAATTTATAGCTCTCATTTCTCACAATAATGAGTTCTCACTTGATAATTCTCTGTATAAATGTCATCGTTAAGTTCCACTAGTGATGTATCAAGCCTATATTCAAATGGATTTAACTAACCTAACCAAATAAATGAAGGGGTGCCCGTTAACTCGAGTTAGAAAACAGAAGCATAGAAGATTGTATTTCTGGATTGACTGCAAAAGAAAAGAAGGAAAGAGGTCTCTCCTCCAGCAGTTTCCTCTTCAAAAAGGATCTCACCTTTTACAAAGAGCAAATGCTCAATTAACAGAATAATTATTTTGCCTTCAACCCTCCTATTCGTCACTAACCTCTAATCTACTAATCAGTATCCTGACCAATTCTTCCTTCCCTTTCCTTTCTCTTAACTCCCAACAGTGGCCAAATTAGGATTAATTGCAAAGTCAAACAGCACTAGTAGGTATTGGATCCGCATGTCATAACCAAGTTTCTGGGTACTAAAAGAGGTTAATTAATGTTCAGATGAATGGCACTGGAAAGAAAATTTTCAACTAAATATGGTATTTAAAAGTCAATCATACCAAAATGAATGGTTCAAGTTAATAACATAAACACTTGCTCATCAGGTATGAGCATATGCAGAAACAATCCAGACAATGATAATACATTGATAGCTGAAATTTATAAAAAAATAATTGCAAAAGAATTATACCAACCTTGAGGCAGTGAAGCTCTGTGCCTTCTCGGTTATAGATGTATGGATATCTGTCAAATTCAAATACTCAAGTCATCATATACAAGATTTAGATGGATTAATTAAGTTCGTCATGCTACCACAAAATAAGAGAAAAGTAAAAATCTTAAATGATTATATAAAGCCATGAAGTTTGATACTTCATATCAAAGTAATAACCCGTGGAATTATGATAGAAATATAAAAACAAGGATTTGGTAATTATGGGTTCAAGCTTCGTTTCACCTTCCAAGGGAAAAACAAAATTAATCCTAAAAGCATGCCATCATTAACTATAAAACCTACAAAAATGATGTGTTGTAAACAATGTTATTTTTTTTAACTCGTATAATTAGTTAGTTAAGTGTCAGCAAATTTGAATACCAGGTGTAGGTAGGGTGCACTATAGAAATTGAGGTCCACGTCCACCAAAATTTTTAGTTAAAGTTTATTGATGTCACTCTTTTATTTTGAAAACTTCCAATCATACCCTCCAACCACACTTATTTCACCATTCAGAATTAAGAGATGCATATGTTGTAACAGTATAGAATAAAGGGTTCAATAGATTTTTACTACCTCCAAAATTGACCCATAATTGGTACCTCCAAAAAATTTCAGTAGTTTTATACATAACATGTAATAAATATTTTAATTTATTCCACACGGTTATTCTGTTACTTTTGAATTAAGAGCGTTGACATCCTAATTTTGCTTGTTTGACATGATAGCATAGCTACAAATATCTGACCAGGATGATTACATGTCAACAACGTTAATTCAAGAGTAATGAAGTCTATGTGAGGACAAAATAGCATAACTATTAACTCCTAGGTATCAAAAACCCTGAAAATAATTTTGAAGGTACCAATTTCAATGAATCAGTTTTGTAGATACGAAAATCTTATTTAAGATAGATTAAACATGCAAGGAGCCAAAAAACTTAGATTAAACAGTGGAATAGCAAATAAAGAAAGAGAATTTACTTTTTCTGGGCAGCAGCAAAAAAGAGCTCATTGTGCAAGAATGCCACATCTCTCACTGTTTCCCTTACCTGAAAGAATAAAAAACTCTTTTCTTAAAAACTCAATAATATCCATATAATATATGGTCTTTGTAACCAACTTTCAGCTAGCATGAACTTATGGCCATGTAAAAAAAAATTTACTTAAAAACATGTTTTAAAATTTTATAGTAATTACTAATCAGCCATTTAAAAACCTAAATTTTTTTTGTTTTGGTGATTTTCCATGGTCAATATCAGCACTAAACGATGTCATCTAAGATGCCACAATGAACATAACCACTTGAAAAGAAAAATTAAACAATATTCTTAAACATAAAACATATTATGAAGTTTATTAGTTAGTAAAGTAAAACTCCGCATAGCAAGCTCAACTAGAATTGATCGTACCTGAAGCTCTCTAATTAGGCTCAGATTTATCATGTCCACTATTCCCAGATGGCCCTTACGACCACCCACAGCCATATATCTGCCACTTGAAGTAAAATCCAAAGTGTATGGCCCAAGTTCTGCAAATATGGATTGTAAATGGCAAATGAACAACATAACAAAGTAAAGGACAAGTCCAAAAGGGAGGAATATTTAAAATAAAAAATATGACATAAACATCAACTTTTTCACATGTAAATTAATTATGAAGCACACTGCTTCAAGCAACATGCATACAGAAGGTATCCAGGCAAATTTGGGTTATGTTCTACTGGACAGTTATATGAATTAACAGGTTAGTCTAAACAGGATGCCGGATGTCAGTTACCAGTTTAACACTGAGTCAATGAAGTCCTCACTGGGTTGAGCACATGTCCAATCTAATAACTTACCAGACTAGTTACAGGTCAAACCGACTCATCCGGTCTGAATTTTAAAACTATGCCCTAGAGACCAATTCAAATCATAGGATATAATATAAATGGACAGATTTCATGATATTATCAAAGGATACCACTTCCTGTATAAATAGACAGACTTCATGATATTATCAAATAATAGGATATCACTTTCTTGAAAAGAGTAAACATAGTATACTTGGCTCAATCACACATCACAAATAGACCACATATCCATTGGTAACAGTGATAAAAAAATAAAATAAACTACTTAAATTGATCTTCCTCCTCAGTACTACATTTCCTAACAAGTTGTCAAGCATTTTTTTTTATTTACAGGATATAATGACATATAAGTCAGTACAAGGGAATAAATTGATTGAAGCATCAATACCAAAATTTTGAAAAAGTTAAATGAAAAAATCATTGATAGTACCTGGTAAAATAATATCATATTGTTTCCGTGAGCTTGAGATATCTACTTCACGAGTTATTGCCTCCTGTTTGATCCTCCATGTCTTTTCCATGCCTTCAGCCTCCAAATAACCTCCTTCACTAGGCATAAGCCACTGCACAATTGAATTATACACAAGGTTTGTTAAGGATTTAATAATAACAAAGATATTGAAAATTTAATAATAACAAAGATAGTTTAAGAATAAAGCTATTAATGTTGACTGTAACCTAACAGCCTAAATAAGTTAATGCATAAATATCATATTTTAAACTTGAATGCAGGTCAGGTTAATTAACTTCTCTTCTCACTAATTTTGAGCTTAAACTTCAACTAATTCAAAGTAAGACTTGGCTAACCTCAACAATGACCACCATGAAGTAAAACACTTAAAAAGGGTTATATGAATCAAATCATGTCACCTCATGAAAAATCCAATATCAAACTGCAGTAGGCAATCAAACATGCCACATGGATATTTTCCAAAAACTTACATTTCATCCTCACCAATGAACAACCTTTAGAATTATCCATTTATATATGATATGTAAAGACAAAAGTAAATTCAATATAATACCTTCTCAGCCTTAGCAGCAGCTTCTGCAGATTTTCCATATAACCGTTCCTTAGCAGCTAATTGACCCTTCAACTTTTTATCCTTCAAAACCTACAAATTATATTTTACAAATTAAGATTAGATGATGTGCAAATTATATTTTACAAATTAAGATTAAATGATTCCATCATCAAGCATCAGTTCCTTATTCCAGTAAGCTCAATGACTTATACCTCCAAATTGGCACCATCTCCTCTGAGATACTTCTTTATTCTCAAGTCAAGCTCATCAGAAATATCCTGTAAAACAATATATCAGACCAAGAATAATAAAAAAAGAAAAAATAAAAGACTCATAATACCTAATAGAGATACCACATATTCTATGTTTAATAAAGAAATAAAAATATACTAAAATATTAAAACATAGTTATGAATAGTAAAATTGTAACGATGCATCTATTTCTATCTTCGGACAGACTGGATCACCCTTCCATTCCATTATTGAATTCCATTGTTGAGATTGAATGACCTGTTTGAGAGGATAGCTAGCCAATGAGATGAATTTCCCATTGAGATACCGAGCAGTTACCTTTTTCATGAAACTGTCTACTGCCGTAGAGAGCATGCATGTATGCTTTATGACTACCAAGCACGACTACCAGTTGTTTACCGCAGTAAAGAGCATGCATGTTTCCTTTATGACTATCAAGGACGACTATCCAACTACCCACGACTACCAGTGAAACTGTCTACCGCACCGCTGTAGAGAGCATCTTTGTTTTCCGACTACCAAGCGTGACATATATTCTATTTCATAGCTATTCATGACTACGAATGCAATATAAAAGGGAACACAGCAATATATTCTATTCCAATTTTTAAATATGTTATTTTAAATATTTATTACACTTAAATTTAAGTTTTAATGATATTATTTGATAAAGAAATCGAATTATATATATATATATATATATATATATATATATATATTATTTACTCCATATCATAAATTTGAATGAAATCAAATTTTAATTCAAACAAATAATCTTATCAAAATTTCAGATTAAATAGACATAAAAGATAAATCTATCCCGCTCTGCGTGACACGATAAAAGAATAAGATATATAAATCCCATCTTTCAAAATCTACTCCCCTAACCCTAATCCCCAGTACAGTGCCGTACCATCCCCTACGCGTCTTCTTCGTGTGAGGCTCGTCACTTATATCTGTTTCCATCTAATATGAATTTTACGGTGACCAAGCTTATCATTGGTTCCAATGTAATAAAATTAGGTATCTTAAACGAAAATTAATAATTTAAATCAGTGTAATCCTCTGCATATACACAAAACACTGTGAAACAATTTTTTTATATCAGATGAAAATTGGCGAATTAGGCTTAACTAGTAATCCAAATTTACTCCAACATGATATGGGCACCAACTTGTTCTATTTTCCCCATTAGGCACACAGTAGGCGAGGTCGCGCTAATGCCGCGGAATCTTTTAACTGACAATGTTTCTTCCATATCCTCATCCTATTGCTGGCTGGACCCATCCTCCATTGAACAAATCACTTTAAGTTTTCCAACCCTAAATTTTCTATAAGCTTTTTTTATTTTCTAAATTTCTAAACAAATGGCTGGACTCATCCTATTACCTTTCGTGAAACTCTCTACCTAAAGAGAAAACATGTTTGCTTTATGACTACCAAGCACGAATCGGTTTACTTTACTAATGAATGCTTACTAATGAATGCAATATAAGAGAGAACTCAACAATGACATATATTCCATCAATTAACTACTAGTTGCAAGTTGCATAGTATAAAAAAAACCACATGTAAAATGAAATATTCATGAGTTACATTAACCTCCATAAAACTCGTTACGAAATTACCTTTTCAGTGGAAGGATTGTTCTTTGTAAGAAGAGCGTTCTCTTGAATCTCGCTCATTTTGAGACACAGCTTCGGTCTCGTATGGACCTAGGAACTGGCGGCGGAATGGAAAAGAGTGATATAACCGTAAAACCTATGAACTTGAACTGGCCGCGGAACAATTCTAAAACCTAGAAACTGGCCGCGGAACAGCAGGGAGACAGGATGCAAAAACCGCTTAGGTTAAATGGCTTGCCTGGGTTAGAGGATTTGGAACTGATTTATCTGAGTTAGAGGGTTTCACTGCATAAAGGGTTTTGAACTGATTTATCAATGTATTATTTCTTAAACTCATTCAATAAATAATATATTTTAAAATAAAAATTATTTTAATTATTTTATATTTAGTTTATATATGTACTTTTTCTTTATTTTTTATATTTTTTCCTTTTTTAATTTTTCTTTTACTTTTCTCATTCTTATTAATTTTTTTAATTAAAATTTAATAAAATCATGAAAATATTTTTTTAAAATAAATATAGAAATATAATTGTGAATGTTGCCTTCTAATCTACAAAATATGTTTTTGTAAAAGAAGTAGATAATTTAAATAAAAAATAGAAAAATATTTACTCATCTTACTTGAACATTTAAAAGATAAAATAGAGCTAAATTAGAAGTTTAAAATGATAGGAACTAAATTAATTAACGTTCATAAAAATAATAAAATAAATAATTAATATTTAAATTTTTTTCATTTTTTTGGTATGTGTAATTATTTTTATCTGTTAAAAAAAATGTAAAAGAACCCACGAATAGAATATTATATATATATATATATATATATATATATATATATATAATTATGTTTAACAATTAACTATTTCTTAAAGTAAAAAAAAAATGACAATTTTTAATGTATTTTTAAATACACTCTTTTCTAGAATCAACGCTTAAAAAGAACGATGTTAGAGTTTTATCGTGAGTTCTAAGATACTTGCACGTGATTCAACAAAATAATTATGCGATGCGAGGAAAACTGAAAAAGATCTTGTCTTTTGGTTTTGATTTGACTCTTTACCCTCGCAACAAAATACAAAGTGAGAAGGAGGAGAAAATAATAATATCAGTATCAAATCCAAACAAAACCCAGTGCAGTGTTGCAGTGTGCCACTGAACTCAGACAAATATCATGAACTGTCTTCACAATCTTCCTCGGTTCGTTTATCCTTCTTAATTTTCCCTTATTCTTTTGTTATCCAAATCTGAAAGAATCTTATTCCTGAATTTTCAGATTCTGTCCTTTGTCCTTCGAAACTGTTGCTACGCGCCACCGAAACAACCTTACCCTTTCCCAGGTACTCTCTATTTTCCCTTCTTATTTCGTTAATGCTTATCTACAATTATATTTATCTCTCTCTTTCACCATCTCTTTTTTCAACGCTGGATACAGGGATTCTTCAATAATTCTCATCAAAATCGAAGTATGGCGCTCAAGGTAATGTACTCTTTGTTGCTTTTCCTTTCCTTTACTTTCTTTTTAATCTTAATAGTGTTCTGTTTGTTCCATAATATTGATTTGCTCTCTTTTCAAGTTCTCTATTCATGTTGTTTCGGCTTCATCTTTCCTTTGTTTTCTAGAGAACTTGATTGGCATTTTCTTTTGCAGGCTGCTTCAGGTTCTATACCTGGTGCAGACAAAAGTAGTGTCGATAAGGAGGTGGAAAAGTCTGAGACATATTCTCATAGCATGGCAAAAGCCATGGGTGCTGGTATGTTTAATCTTTTTGTTCTTCTAGTTCAACTATGATGTAGCCTTATCCTTCTAGATAGAGTTGACTTCACTGATAAAATATCATTTAGGCCCAAACAGAAACCAAAATCTCAATGCAGAGCAAGTTCTTTTTTTGATCGCTTCTCCAAGTTTTTTTCAGTGTTTGTTTGCCCCTTTGAATCAGAATATCTTCCATTTGATCTACTTTTCTCACTTTTGTGGCTCTTCTTCTACTTTGAGGTTCTAGATAAGAAACATGGAATACAATTTAGGGGAAACCAAGAGTATCTTTAGCTTTAGCTCCCTGGTCAATTGTAATTTATTTACCGGTGTAAACTGTGATGCAATATTTCAAATTATGGGAATAAATCTTCACTATTTTTGCTGCAATCATTTATAACATTCTTCCGTTTGTAACATTCATATTCAGCTAATAGTTTGGATTAACTATAGGAATACTCAATTGCTCATCCTATTATTTTGTTCTTTGAATACTTTTTGTTGTTAACCCTTTCTAACAAAGTGCTACTCAGTTTTGTTTTATAAGCATGAATTAGGAATGAACTATAACTTCATCCGTCCAGACTTGATTGTGGGATCATGCCCGCAGGTATTTTTTGTTTCAATTATATTATGGATACCTGATCCAATTATGTCAAATCTCGTTTGATCCTCTGACTTCTATTTATTGTCAGACTCCTGACGATGTTGAGAAGTTGCGTGGAATTGGCGTTAAAACTATATTTTGCTTACAACAAGATTCAGACCTCGAGTATCCTAGTCAATTTGTTTGATTAGATCCACTTTCAGCATTTTAGACAAGACGACGTATTTAGTATAGTAATGAACCGTTGTGTTTCCTTAGAACTGCTTAGATATTTTGATGTTGATATTAATGCCATACGAGAATATGCCAAGACACATGATGTTCAACACTTGCGTGCTGAGATAAGGTTAGTTATGTCATAAAGTATTTATATCCTAATTGTCAAAGAAATGATTGTGTTTAAACTGGCAGGAGTAAAAACAAAGGTATTTTAAAATATTCTAATATACAATCAAAATATTGTGAGATATCTTGTAGATATTTTAATAACTGCACAAGGGACCAACAGTGAACTAAAAAAGTCTTCTAGAAAAAAAGAATTGTGATATGTTCTTGAAATTGTTGCCAAAAATGGATTTTGAAGATTTAGGTATTAGGTTGTGAGTGGAGCCAAACTCAAGCAATTAGGACAGTTTTTTGTATTTTTTGGGTAAGACTAGTTGGCAATATCACCTTTTTATAATAGTTCCTAATTTTCTAGTATAATATGAGTAAATTAGTCATTTCTTCTTTACCTATATGTTGTGTTTCTCTTTACTCATGAACAGTGATATATTCTTCATTTTACATGCTGTTGCCTTTGTTTTTCATGTTCCTCTTCACATTGTATGATAATCTAACATGGATGTCACAGAGACTTTGATGCATTTGATCTACGGATGCGGCTTCCAGCTGTAGTTAGCAAATTATACAAGGCAATAAATTCCATCGGAGGTGTAACATATATACATTGCACTGCTGGACTTGGAAGAGCTCCAGCTGTTGCAGTATGTCCCTTGGTTTCATTTATGTGATACATGTTATTCGTAGAATATACTTGAAGCGTTTTTTGGTTAGTTCTGTGTATGTAAAGGAAATAATTTCATATTTAAGTAGTTAAATACAGAAAGGACAGGTAATAACCTCACACATGCTGAATGGTTTCAAAAAGGTTCTAACTTAAATATGTTGATATGAAAGAGACTCCTATAAATTATGAAAGAGACTCATATAAATAGTTTAAAACCGCCATAATTGAGAACACCCCTAGCCGGCCTTATTGAGGCATATCACAGTTGGTTGCCAATGTCTTGGGAAGGGCTACCTACAAAAGACTGACCAAAATTTTTTAGTGAAGCATCGTAGTGTGAAGTTGTCACAATGTTGGCTCATAGGGGGTTGGGGTCTAAGCAGTGGTTAGAAAAACCAAGCAATCCGCATTGTCTGAGTTGGTTTTGTGAAGTTTTCAATTGAGTTTTCAAACAGGTCAATAAAGGTTTTTTGGACAAGCTTCTCCATAAACACTTGTAGAAAGTAAAATTAGAAAAAAGAATGAAATGAGCTTCTTTATAAATACTTTTAGAGAGAAAAATAAGAAAAAAATGAAATGTGTTTCTTCACAGAAACTTTCTCGTATAGTTTTTCTAAAATTCTTATTTTTAACTTTGCATAAGTTAATTTTTGCTAATAGAGAAACTTATTTTATTTTATGTTGTTTTAGAAATGTTTATGGAGAAATTTGTCTAAACAGACCATAGTAAGATTGTTGCAGTGTGATGTGGCAGTCACAGGTTGTAGTTTAGAAATTAACTTCTCATAATTAAGGTCATGTGCATCTGACCTTCCCCACTCCCCAAAATTCCACAATAGTGGGAGCCTCATGCATTGGGCGACCCTTTCTATTGTCCATCATTTTTGCTCTGGGCTATTAGAATCATTAAGTTGAAATAGGTTGAACCCATTCCATCTGGTTACATTCAGTCCTAATTTCATCTATAGATGTTTCTTGAAGATGACATTGTTTTTATAAAGAAAGGATACAAAAGAAATCCTAAATTCAATATTGTTTATTTTCTTAATTGATATGTTTCAATATTGTTTTGTGGACTCCTAATTATTTAAATCTATCATGCAGATAAAGATGATTAGTGGTGTCTAAGTTTCTTTTTCCAAAAATATTTTTGCATTTCACGTTAAATGATTTATCTGTTCTATAGTTCTGCCACTTTGGGGTGTGTGCGCACGCGGAAGATTATTTACTAACAACTTGTTTTGTCTCAGACGGCCTATATGTTTTGGGTTCTGGGTTACAAACTTTATGAGGCGCATACACTACTTCAGGTGACGACTATGCTCAATACTTCCTTTTTATTGTTTTGCATCTTAAATGCACGCGGGGTTCTTGGTAGATAATATGCTGCACGGTTTTCAGTACTCCTCCATATTGCTTGGATTAAACAAAATAGAATTTCCATTTTGAATTCTTGTCATTGAGTTTTGACAAATTTCTATTTTAGGCTTGGTAAACCTATTTGTGATTTGTTCCACTAAGTTCCATAACTCAAAAGCAACTCATTCACATTTGTGATTTCTATGCATAATGATTGTGTAGCAATTAGTGATTCTTCAACAGTTATATTTGAATCACTAGTTTCTAAACTTAGGTCAGGTATCTGTGAATGATGGAGCTGGGCAATTTACTTACTGATAGATTGTTTTTCTTATATATAGTTTACTAGCATTCTTATTTAATTTTATTTTCCTGGCTTCTTTTACTCAAAATATATGGCATATTCTCTAATTGTGTATACCTCAAGAACTTAATTTAATATCATTTTCCTTTTCAGCGTCTTAGAATTTTCATTCTAGCGGTTTCATCTTTGAGGGTTATATTTCTTCTGATCCAATTTTAAATGCAATTGGTCTAAAGAGAGAAATGAGATTGGAATTTGGTGAAGTTTTCATGAGCCTTTTTTTACTTTTATGTCTTCAGAGCAAAAGGGAGTGCTTTCCGAAACTAGATACCATTAAAAGTGCAACGGTGGACATTGTGAGTCAATTTAATTTTCTATAATTATTGTGATTTAGAATTTGAATGGGATTTTTTATTTATTATTATTATTATTCATTACAGGTGTAATCTTCCCTCTAAGTCTTTTCCCCATTAAAAACTGACATAATTAATTTATTGTGATATTTCACGACCAGGATTTAATTAAACTGTTCTTCATTTTTATCTTTTTACTTGACAAGCATGCTTGTAGTAATTTACCACTCATTTAAAAAAAGGAGAACCTTTGAAAATTATCTATTTGTGGTACTCAGCTTACAGGGCACAGCAAGAAATCTGTCACTTTGTCATGGGAAGACAGCAATTGCTCTAGTGTCGAAATTGCAGGACTTGATATTGGATGGGGACAGGTGATGATTGAGCCTTGTTTTGTTTAAATTTAAGGATAGCCCAGTTCCTCTTATAGAAGGTGTAACCGTCATTAAATTAAATGGTGATATTATCATGACATCATCATCATTAACTGCTTCGGTTACAGCCATTTTTCATTTTGTTTTGAAACATATTCACACGTAAGAATTTTGGTTTGTTGGGATTTGTATATATTCATAATTCATTATCTTAATAGAATATCTTAATAATCTTGTGTGTACTATAGCCTGTGCTTCTGTTAGTGGAACTGTGACTTTTGATAACTTGAATCAGCGGTGGTTGATGTTTCTGCCCAAATATTTGAGAAGGGAAAAATATACTGCCATTACATCTCTTGAACATTTTCAAACTATTTAGATGGGAAATGCTTGGATGATGAAAGTCCAGATAATAATGTATATGCTTGGCCAATTTGCATCTCCAATTGTCATATTTCTTTTCCTTTTATTTCATTGTCACTGGTATGTTTTGCTCCCATTCCTGAGTATAAAAAATACTTGAAGTGGATGACACATTTTACTCATAGCCCTTGAAGTATGGTAACTAATAGCTGCTTATTGATGTTACCAGGACCAAATGTGCTATTAATTTTTATAGGGACCAAAATTGCACATTGGTAAAACTTTGGGGGCCAAAAGTGGATTAAGCTTCAGTAATAGTTGTTTATTGATGTCACCAATTCTTTTCTCACCGCTGTTGCTATCATGAACTCAGACCCAATAGGAGAAATATAATATATCAGTAGAAATTGGCAGTTTGGGCCTGGGAAGTTCAAAATTGACCAAACTACTTTTGGCATCTTGCTAAACTGTTGTGCTCAAAGCATGATGTGAAGTCTCATTTCAGATTCGAAGTCTTTTTATCTTTAAAATTATCTGAATTACCTAGTTTGACTTTCTTATGTTTTGAACATATGCCTTGATTATACAAGTTTATGCTAACTCTTCCATTAATCTTGATCTCTTTTCAGAGAATACCCCTAGATTTTGACGATAAAGCGGGTTTGTGGTATCTCGAGAGGGAATTGCCTGTAAGTGAAATTGTTAAAACTGGGCTGTGATTCCTTGTCAGTTTAAAGTTTGGTCTTAATATTGAATGCTGAAATAACTTTTCGGCTCAGCAGCTGTGATTAAAACAATAGATTGATGAGAAATAAGTTTGTTGTCCTATTTTCCAGGAAGGACGCTACGAGTATAAATACATTGTTGATGGGGAATGGACATGCAATAAAGATGAGCTTGTAACTGCTCCCAACAAAGATGGTCATGTCAACAATTTCATTCTAGTAAGTTATAAACTTGAACTTTATAACTCAAAAGAAATTTTGCCATTGGTAACTTACTCCTTTAAATCCTAGAAAATTGCTGGAATCTCAAAGCTAGAATAAGTCTTGATCATTAGTTCAAAGATAAAAGAATACAAATTACCACTAAGTATATGGCTCACAATCATGATACATTTTTAGGATTAAACAAGTTTTTTTTACCTCCAGAATTGATCCTATTGATTTGGTACTTTCAAATAATTTTCAGTACTTTTGATACCCAAATTTTAATAAATATACTAATTTAGTCTTTATTAGTCTAGAATTAATAATGTTGACATTTAATTATGGTAGTTAGATTTTTGCAAGGAATATTGAGATGTTAGTACATTAACTCTGTTAATTTAATTCAAAAATAATACACAGTCAGAATCAAATTAACATATTACTGAAAACTTTTGGAGGTACTAATTTCAATACTGACCAATTATGGAGGTATGAACAGCTTATTTACCCTCTTATTTGTACCAACAACATTGTATTTCACAATCTGACTCTGAAGTATTATTATTATTAGTTTGTGTTCTATTAATCTGTTATTGATTTCACATATTTCATCTCTCCGAGCAGGTCCTTGATGATAGCAGCAGTGATCGTGTCTCCCTCCGGGAAAGATTTGCATCTGATGATCCTGATCTCACAGCGGATGAACGACTGAGAATAAAGGAGTTTCTTGAAGCTTGTCCTGACGAAGGTCTGTGACCATGAATGAACGTGCCCGTGATATGTGTATACATGTTATCTAATAACAGGTTCAACACAAACCTTCAGATAAGATACTTGTTGCAGATGGAAGTATGAATTGATGGGTGAATAAATTATTATTATAAAATTATCTTTGGTTTAATTTTGATGATTTAGTTTTTTCAGTTTGTCTGAATAATACAAGTATGAATTTACATATCTTATTTTGGTTTTACCTACTTTCATATTTTAATTTATTTGTCATGATAGTAAAATATTCTTATATTGTGATGATATATATTAATAATGTGTAACATAGTGGCTAACTGAACATTTAAAATATTGTCAGGTTATAGTGCAAGCCAACTTCCAAGAATTCAAATTGTATAGAAATTTGTGATTGTAGTTGAGAATTTTAGATTTTTGAAAAATTAATGAGTTTTTTTTTCTCTTCATTGATGTAAACGGTGTATATGTGCAATTTTGAACCATTAAGAAAATCAGAAATAATTTGGAACAATTAAGAAAATCAGAAATAAAAGTTAGATCTTCATACATCAAAAGCAACTTAGTAAAAGCTTTAAAATAGAAGATAATCATTATTCAACACTTCCCTTAACTTATGGAATATAAATTATATACACCAATAACATATAAAATAAATTGATCACTAGATTTAGCCAAAAGATCAGTAATGTAAAAATTACAATTAATAATACAAATTAATCTAATAATTAAAACATTAACCATATAAAAAACAAACATATACTACAGTCAGTTGTATATAGCATTAATATTATAATGATATTATTATGTTGATATTTAAATTTAATATGTATAAAAGGTTATAATATTGATTGTTTTATAGTTGTTAACATTTAAAATTGATGACTAATTCATTAATACCAATAATTAAACGGAAAATAAAAAATTACAATGAATCATATAAATTAACCTAATACAATTTAAAATCAACCCCATAACATCATGACCAAATTCATAAAAAGGTTAAATCAACCCCGTCCAAAAATAGTCATTTAATTAATCAAATTTTAATATAAAGAATATTTAAAATTACCTTAATATCTTTTAAAGTATAAGTTTGAGAAAAAAAAAATCAAAGATAAAAACATACCTTTTTTTTCTAAAAAATTAATCATATATTACATTCAGTTGTATAAATTATAGTTGACTAATAATATTATTATTATAAAAATAATATTTCAATTTAAGGTTGAAGGTATTATATTGATTAGTTTATAATTGTTAAATTTTAAAATTGTTGACTAATTAATTAATACTAATGATTAAAGATGATGAGGAAACAGGTTTTCAATAGAGTGATCCATAACTATTCCCATCATTTATTATAATAATAAATTTATTAATATTTTTTTATTAATATTAAATTGAATATGTATTAGTGATTGAAATCTTTAATTAAATAGTCATGTAATCATTTTAGAGTAACTTTTGCATGCATATGCCCTCTTAAATTAGTGGTTAATAAAAAAAATTATTATTAACAAATATATTTTATTATAAATCTTATAAACTTAAAATTATAAAAATTATTAAAAATTGAAAAAAAAATTAACATATACCTAATCAAAAATTTTAACACGTCATTAAATTCTGACGTATATTTATTTATTTCTCTTTTATATTTATATTCTTAAATTACTTTCTTATAATTAATTTAAAACATGTCATATTTATACATATTTATCTAAAGTTTCGATAAATCATAAATTTTCTCTTTTTTTCTCATATTTATACATACACATCTGATTATTTCTTGTTTATTAATAGAAAACTGAATACTGATTAATTTTAAAAATTTTAATCTATAAAAATATATCTTTCTTCTCAATTTTCATTTTATAATAATTTTTACAATCTCTTTTCTTCTATTTTACAATAATTTTATATTTTATAAAATCAACTACACATAAATAGATACACAGCAAGTATAAATTTTTGACACATGATTAAATTTTTTTCCTTTAAATCAAATATGAAGCAATTATAATTATGCTTTCTAATTTTACTCTCGTTTTATAATTAAGAAAAAATATATTATTTTTTATCAATAAAATATTATTTTAATATAATTTCATAAATATAGATTTAGAAGATGGAAGATAATTTATTATACAAAATTTTTTTTTTAAGATTAAAAAATATGTTTTTATTGATTAAAACAAAATTGGTATAAGAAACTTATTATCCCATGCAATGTAACACACTACTAGTTATAGTGAAATTATTAAAAGCTGGAGAAAAAGAAAATGGAGGACAGAAAGGAAGGGGTAAGAGAGAGTGGATTCCTAAAGTTGATTTAGTAACAAAAAAGATGACAAGGTGAACAAGCGCAAAGCCAAACACAAAAAAATGTGAAAAAGATGGATACACTCCCAATGTTAATCAAACCAATGCCTACACTTCATTTGTCACTTCTTCCCCTCTCCAAATCGCAGTAAATTTTCGCGGCAAAATCTGATAGTTTCTGTTAAAATTCTTTTTGTGATTAGTTGTCGATGGGATTGTCCCGCAACGCGGAGTCGCAGCCGGAGATCGATGACGCTGGCAGCGACATTGGATTCCATGCGATCCGCGGCGGCTTCCCCTTCAAGCGGAACCCTGGCCACTACCGACACCGTGGGTCATTCGATCGGCAATTGCCGCGGTCAAACAATAGCAGCAACAGCAGCAGCCGATCTCACCTGCACAACCGCCTCACGCGTAAGGGCTTGCTGTGGCTCTTCCCGTTTTCCAAGTCCAAGTCTGGATTCTACGTGCTCATCATCGCCGTTGTGTTCCTCTTTGCGCTCGCCTCCATGGTTATGCAGAACACAATCACCTCTGTCTTCCGCCAGCGCGGAGAGCATGGCGGCTACGTTAGGGATGGGCTGCGCTTTGGGACCACGCTCCGTTTCGTACCCGGGAGGGTTTCGCAGAGGTTCCTCTCGGGCGACGGACTCGATCGGGTTCGTTCTCAGCCCAGGCTTGCCATTCGCGCCCCCAGGATAGCTCTCGTGAGTTCCCTTTTTTCAGCAATGTGTTTCTTTCTCTGATTTTGAATTACTCATATTAGTGTGTGACTGTTTTGATGTCGTGTGTTGCTTGAGTCGAGGAAAGTTGGCTGGGTTTGAGGATTTAGTTGTTTTATTAAGATTTTGCTAATTATTGAGCTAACATGTTTAGTTAATGTGAGATGTAAAGTGTTTTATTTGAAGGATCCTTTAAATTGTGACAGGAGAATCGTGTCGTTGCGGTGGGGTGGGGGTGGTCTGTGGAAGGGTTTTGTATGTTTCAGTGTTGTTTATGTAATGTAGTGAGGGCTTTTTTACTGTTCGTTATGATGAGTTATGGCAATGCCGAAACATTCTTAAATTTGTTAATTGACCATGTCGGTATGCTGTTTAATTAGTTGATTGTAGGATATCTATTTTTTATTATGGGAATATTTGAATTTCGTTCCAGCTACTTAATTCTAGATTTTTTGTTGGTCCTTGAGGTTAAGACTTGCTCTTATCCCCTGGTTACAAATAAAATTCTCCCTTTTGACTAAGGCTAACTGGAACAGAATGCCAATAAACCTTAAATTCTTGGCTTAGATACATTTCTGATTGATGTTTGCTTGAGAAGTTTAACGTCAGGAAATAATAGAGTGCACCAGGCCAGAGTGACCCCCCCGGACTGCATGTATTATTAAGGTTTTTTTTGTTATGTTATACTTATTATACATTGAACAACTTTAAAATGCTATTATTGCATTTGTATGAGGAAAAGGTGAATAGCCAATGCTAATCATTACTTTTGGCATTATTTTTCCCTTTTCCTATAGTATATATAAATAAAGATTACATGCATTCTTAGTGCAGCAATGCATGTGCAAATGAAATTCTTAGAATCTTGACCTAGGCTTTACTCAACCCAGCAAATGGCTTTGCTTGCAGCTAAGTGGCCATATTTTCCTTATGAGGAAGCACTTGATACCTGGTTTGATACCCAAAGAGTGTCAAACTGTGAAAATACTTGCATGTATAGCATCTTATATTTTTCCTTTGTAGCACCTAGTCTGAGTAGAATTTCTCAAAATTGCTTTTGTCGGGATATAGTTCAGTATATTTTAATTGATAGAACGTTGAAGAGTTCAACATACTTAGTTTGCTTATGTAGTGGACAGATATTCTGCACCCTTTTGCTTCCAAATAGATTCTCATTACAATTTACCATTTAATGGGTATTACAAAAATAATAAAGGATAATGAAACTCTGTCCTTCTACTGAAATTGGATAGGCGCGCAACTGTCTACTATTACATGGTGATCGCAACCCAAGCAGAAGTCCAAAGTCAACCCACTTTCTTAATTTTAAAACAATCACGCATTTGTTATGCAAATCTTTGTTCCTCTCTGTTATTGAAACAAAATAGAGATGAAATCATACAAATTACAACTTGTACTTGGGGTAAAAATCCCTGTCTAAGAACTGTGATAATTACCTTTATGATTATGTGTTGTTTCATTGGATTTGAGGAAGGAGCATTGACTCAAAGGGATTCTTAGCTTTTCAACAGTATATGGAATAACATATTTCTAGTTTGTGGTCCTGAACTTGTAGCCCTTGGACCAAAAAGGTTGGCCCTTCCTCTCTCTCTCTCTCTCTCTCTCTCAATATATATGTATATATATATATATAGAGAGAGAGAGAGAGAGAGTTAATAAATAGGAAGAAAAAGAAGGAAGGGCTGATTATGTTAACTTTTGTGCACTTGATGGGTTCACACTTATCAAATATCTCAAAATTCAATTATGTTATCACTCATGAGCATGGTATCATGCATGAAAAACAGACGAATTTTATTAGGATAACATGCTCTTAATATATTAATCTGTTCTTCTTTTGTCTATCAGATTTTGGGACACATGAAAATGGATCCCCAGTCATTGATGTTGGTCACTGTGATTCAGAATCTACAGAAATTGGGTTATGTTTTTAAGGTATAAAATTTTATTTTTTTTTGTGAGATCTTATCTGCTTCATGGATGCTGAGAATGATTTATTCAAAACCTAGACTGGAGATCCAAGTATGACAATAATTTGTATGCAGATCATTGTCAAAATGAATTTTGTCTTATTGATAATGTTAATTTATATGTTTGATTTTGTAATTAAGTATAGATTTTTTGAGAGGCCATACATTTCCCGTGTCTATTAACAGATATTTGCAGTAGGGCATGGGAAGGCCCACTCAATATGGGAAAACATAGGTGGTGGAATCTCTCCTTTGGGTACAGCGCAGCAAGGCCTGATTGATTGGTCAATGTATGTGTTTTTACTAACGTTTTTTTTTTTTTTTTTTTTTTTTGGCGTGGGTTTAAGTTGGGGTTATCTATGTCAGTTTTAATGCTTCAACATTATTTTTTTCAGTATTTATATTTTCGGTGTTACTTGATAGGTGTTAACTTTCGTCCCCCTTTTCCTTTTGATTTCTCAACAGTTTTGAAGGTATCATTGTTGGCTCCCTAGAAGCAAAAGAAGCCATTTCAAGGTTGGTTTTCTGTATCTAAATTGCAATATGTTTGCCTTTTGAGCTGTGTGTTGGGCTTGGGAGATGTGGGGGAGGGGGGGTCTGATTTGGTCTCCAGGAGTTCAAAAAACATTGCTATTCTTTGGGTGTTTTCTTAAAAAAAGTAAATCATGTTCCTTACTTTTTATCTAAGTACTTGAAAAATTGTCTTATGAACTAAAGTTGGTAGATTGGTTTAATAATTAAATTTGTTCCATTGATCATATAAATATGATTTATGTTGATAAGATGTACTTTTACAATTTGTTTGTCTAATTAATAGAGGAAACATTTTGTTTGAAATGAAAGTTGGGGTGAAATTTGTTAGGCTCTAACCAAATCTTGATATTCCGAGCCACTATAGGTGTTCCCTGACCTTTTTCTTTATTTAGTTTGGTTGTTTGAAATTTTGCAGTCTCAAATATGTATCCTTGTTGTAAAGCCTCCTCAATTGCTGTCTATTTGGGTGTTGCATTAATTGCAGCTTTGATGGGGTGTGTTTAACCCTATATCAACTATAGATATTAGTTAAGTAGAACTTATAAAGCCTGACACCAAATTCTGGGAGTGTTGTTTGTCCATTGATGTTTTTGTCTCCTTCTTTATGAGTACACTTGGGTGAACACATTTTTCCAAGCAATCAGTCTAAGGAAATGAATTAGGAGGGCGTGATATTTTGATGGTGGTTTAGGCCTTAATATGTTATGCTTTATTTAACCTTGAATGGTATTGGTATACTGATGCATTTGTTTTAATATTGCATGTTTTAATACTGCTTGCATGTTTTAATATTGCAAATAGATAAACCATTCCTACAATTCCTTGGACCTGTTTTCTATCATTATTATCATGTTGCTTTCTTATAGGAGATTTTTCTTATTTGAAGTTTTAGATGCTGTGATTAGTGAGTTTTATATTTGTGCAGCCTTATGCAGGAGCCTTTTTGTTCAATACCATTGATATGGATTATTCAAGAAGATAGCCTTTCAAGTCGCCTTCCAGTTTATGAGCAAATGGGTTGGGAGCATCTTGTTTCTCATTGGAGAAGGGCTTTCAGCAGAGCCAGTGTTGTTGTGTTTCCAGATTTTACTTATCCGGTAAAGATGCTGTAGCATATGCTGAAAGATACAACAATATTAGAACCATAGAACCTATTATAGGCTTTCCAAAATGGTTTTGAAGTTATTGCTTATTTTTTATGTTTTCATGCATCAGATGTTATATAGTGAGCTTGATACTGGAAACTTCTTTGTGATTCCTGGATCACCAGTAGATGTGTGGGCTGCAGAAAGGTATAGTAAGACCCATGCAAAGGATCAGCTAAGGGAACTTAGTGGATTTGGTGAAAATGATATGGTGGTTCTAGTTGTTGGGAGCTCAGTCTTCTATGATGACCTATCTTGGGACTATGCCGTTGCAATGCATTCCATAGGGCCTTTGCTGACAAAATATGCGAGGAGGAGTGATGCAAATGAGTCATTTAAATTTGTTTTCTTATGCGGCAATTCTACTGATGGTTCAGATGATGCTTTACAGGTAGTCTTTACTTTTAAGGGCCTACTTATATGAAGTTGATGACTTGATGCTGACAAAATATAAGACATTAGAATGCTATTTTTTAAGCAATTATTAGATATTTTAACCATCTCTAAGAAGTTAGTGGACAGATAATTGGGTTTATACTTTTTAGGATTTTCTCTTGTCAGGAGGAATATATGTAAATAAAATAGTGTATAGAATTATTCTAGGGAAGTTACTTTGCTGTCAAATTTGATTTTAATGGGCAACTACTTTACAGTATTTCCACAGGTTGATGTTGATGTTCTTTGATGATATAATGGAATTTACTTGTCTAATGTGGAACTTCTTGGAGTATGCCATGTGCTCAAGAATTGCTCTTTTTCATTGTAAAATTACGAATAATTGCTAGGATTAAGCTGAATAATTTTTCTAAAGAATGCACCAATTTTTTTATTCTTGCCTTTTATTTTTGTGGTAAGAAATTATTACTGTGGGAGGAAGCTCGTCAAAAGGTTGGAAATTTGTTTAGTGGTCAGGTGAAGGTATGCCAGGAAATCAGTAAAAGAATGGACAAGTTAGAAAAAATTTATTAGTAATGAATTGAAATAGTGATGCTGATGAAAGAGAAACAGAACTCTTGAAGATGAGCTTTTGAAATATATTTGTGGCAATCTCTGTTTTATTATGTTTGACTTATCTTCAGTGACAATATCTGACACAAACAGATTCTCTCAACTTGAATATATTCTCTTTGAATTGTTTACTGATTTATTATCTGTTGATGTAGGAAGTTGCTTCACGTTTGGGCCTTCCTCATGGTTCCATAAGGCATTATGGCTTGAATGGTGACGTGAATAGTATGTTATTAATGGCTGATATCATCTTGTATGGTTCTGCTCAGGAGGTGCAGGGTTTTCCTCCATTATTAATCAGAGCAATGACTTTTGAAATTCCAGTTATTGCACCTGATTTTCCAGTGTTAAAAAAATATGTAAGTTTGTTCTAGTTTTTCCTTTACATCATTCATGATTTCTGAAACCATAACTAATTTCCGTATTTTCATTGAGCTTTTCTCAACTTGTAGATTGTGGATGGAGTACATGGGATATTTTTTTCTAAACAAAATCCTGAAGCTTTGATGAATGCTTTTTCACTATTGCTTTCAAATGGAAGACTTTCTAAATTTGCTAATGCAATTGCATCATCTGGAAGGCGACTTGCTAAAAATGTATTAGCTCTGGATTGCATAACTGGCTATGCAAGGCTTCTGGAGAATGTACTCAGTTTTCCCTCAGATACTTTATTGCCTGGTCCTGTTTCTCAGATTCAACAGGGGTCATGGGAATGGAATTTATTCCAGCATAAAGTAAACCTAGACATTCACTTGTCAAATATGGATGGTAGTTTTTTCAATGAAAAGCCTTCTATTGTTTATGCTGTTGAGCATGAGTTGGCTGGTCTTAATTATTCAACAAGCATCTTTGAGAATGAAACAGAGGTTCGACTGCATGATGAATTAACCGAATTGGATTGGGATGTTTTGAGAGAAATTGAAATATCTGAAGAGAATGAAATGTTTGAAATTGAAGAGGTATGCTATATTCTTTCGTTTTGACTGTCTCTGTTTCACCCGCTTGTAATTCATGATAAGTTTATTTTAGGGATAGCTGGTTCCATAAAGTCATTTCATTCTGTTGTAGGTTGAAGAGAGAACAGAGAAAGATGTTGGTGTATGGGACAATATATATCGTAATGCTAGAAAATCTGAGAAACTGAAGTTTGAAGTGAATGAGAGGGATGAAGGGGAGCTTGAGAGAACAGGACAACCTGTGTGCATTTATGAGATATACAATGGTGCAGGAGTATGGCCATTTTTGCACCATGGTGCTCTCTATCGTGGGTTAAGCCTTGTGAGTATCTTTGTTCATAGAAGGCACTTTATATCTTGTTCTTTTTTGGCCTTTTGTTTTCTTTCCCTCCTTTTTAATTTATTTGGTTCTACTTCATATGATATTTCGATCTATTGATCTTTATATTCAAATTTAGAGTGCTTCTCGTGAATTTTAACCTCTATTTTCCTGTACAAAGTGAGAGATAAACATCAGTATGCTATTAGATTAAGTTATCTGATGTATCTTTCAGATAAATTTTGCTCTATTTCCCTTGGAATGACCACTGATTTAAATTTTATGAAAAAGGTTTAGTTCAGTTAGTTTAGTCCTATGTAAAACTATTGGAAATAAGTTGGCCCTTTTTTCTGATAATAATTAAATATTACTTCTGGCAGTCTAGAAGAGGACAGAGACAAAGTTCGGATGATGTGGATGCAGTTGGTCGTTTGCCACTTTTGAATGACACATTTTATCAGGAGATTCTCTGCGAAATGGGAGGAATGTTTGCAATTGCAAATAAGGTTGATAGCATTCACAGGAGGCCTTGGATTGGGTTTCAATCATGGCGTGCTGCTGGTAGGAAGGTATTCCTTTTGTTTTGTTTGCAAAAGTTTACTTTTCCTTGAATATAATTATGAAAATTAGTATACCTTTATACTTTAGGTTAAGCATCAATTGATGCAAGTATCAATTTTTCTTTTCAGAAAATTGGGTAGTTTTTTTTTTTTGTTACATATACGTGTAACTTTCTGGTGTATGAGAAGGTCCTTTTGAAATTATTGGTTGATTGATACACATTTTTGTTAAAGCAGGTAGCATTGACAGCAAAAGCCGAAAAGGTTCTGGAACAGACAATGCAAGAGAATTCTAGAGGAGATGTAATATATTTTTGGGGACATTTGGACATGGATCGGAGTATCATAGGAAACCACAATGCAATTTCTTTTTGGTTTATGTGTGACATCTTAAATGTAGGCAACTGCAGGTATATAATGGCAAATATTACATCATAACATTCATTTTGTTCATTGCTGTATTTCAGCTGCTGAGGAATTTCAAACATCCCACCTCCAACCCTGATCTTTCCTAAAGTTGCATCTAGTGTTATTTGAACAACTTGCAGAATAAAATGTTTAGAATCGCTGCGCATAATTTGGCATGAAAATGCCCATGTGAAAAATACAAGACTTACTCTTAAAGAAATATTTTTGGAGGTTCAAAACCAGAGTTTCTAGAAGTTGGACTTTGGATATTTTAATGTGTTTCAAACTCATCCGTTTTTATGCTTCCAATTGCATCAGAACTGTTTTTCAAGATGGCTTCCGCCGCATGTATGCATTGCCCCCTGATGCTGAAGCACTGCCCCCTATGCCTGAGGATGGTGGTTATTGGTCAGCACTGCACAGCTGGGTGATGCCAACCCCTTCTTTCTTAGAGTTCATAATGTTCTCTAGGTAAATAATGAATTGATATTAGCTTTCTTAACAGTATTTTAATTAAAGTACTTTCTTGATGTAAATGTGACTAGAAATCTGAAATTTTGTCAATTGAATGCAGGATGTTTGTTGATTCCATTGATGCTGTGCACAGAGACTCTAGTCAATATGGCTTGTGCTTGTTAGGGTCTTCGGAGATTGAGGTAATTTGTTTGCATTTACTTTTAAGGTTTCTTAAATTATTCGGATTTCTCACTTTTGTTTTTTCTAAGCAGAAGAAGCACTGCTACTGTCGAGTGTTGGAACTTCTCATCAATGTATGGGCTTATCATAGTGCTCGAAGGATGGTATACATAAATCCTAACACGGGTTCTATGGAAGAGCAGCACCCACTTGAACAACGGAAGGGTTTTATGTGGGCAAAATACTTCAAATTTTCATTGTTGAAAAGTATGGACGAAGATCTAGCCGAGGCTGCAGATGATGGTGATCATCCAAGGGAAATGTGGTTGTGGCCAATGACAGGGGAGGTACACTGGCACGGGGTTTATGAAAGGGAAAGGGAAGAAAGGTACAGGCTAAAAATGGATAAAAAAAGAAAAACGAAAGAAAAATTATTTGACAGAATGAAGCATGGTTACAAGCAGAAATCACTTGGACGGTAGGAAATCCTTAGACTTGAAATTTACGTAGCCAAACACTTTGTGAACCCATTTTTGCTTCAGTCGGGAAGATTGTCTTGCTAATCGGAGAGGCTTCGATTCTAACAGTCACAGGTCATATTACAGGGACAGTATTGTTTCTTGCTTCATTAACTGAATACGTATACTCAACCCTAAGTCTCATGAAAGGGCGAGACAGGGAGCAAAGGAATTCTCCATCTTCTGCTGTTCATTATTTTCACGGCCTTTTTTCATGGTCAATTATAGCAGCACAGAAGATACGGGTAGTTCCACTTCGAACTGTACTCGTAGTCTATAGAAATGCATTCATCAATTACTTTTCATTTAGCTTAAATTTGTATTCTTTCATTATTGTATATTTGGTAAAACAATAGTGGCAATTTTGAGTAGAATAATCGCTGGTTTTTGCGTGCATAGTTTATGTACTACTATTATATTATTATTATTATTATTATTTATTATTATTATTATTATTAAAAAATTAAAGACGGACAATTTTTATTCGGTCATATAAACATGTAGTAAGTGGTTATTTATCGTTTGTTCAATTTTTAACTATTAGAGCATATTTAATTTAGTGGAATTTGTTTGATATATTTAAGGAAAACATTAGTTATTTTAAATAATTTTAAAAAAATCATAATGGGATATGATAAGTTGTTTTATTTTTTTAATTATTTTATCAAATAATTTATAAAAAAAAACAAAAGTAAAATAAACCATGAGAGAAAATAGGAAGAAAATAAATTCTTTAAAATTTATTAAATAAAATTTTATTAAAATAAAATTAATGATGAGTTTATTTTAAAATAATATAATTAATAAATTTATATTTTATATTAAAAAAATAACTCACTTTAATTCAAAAATTATTTTTCAATGTATGGTAATTAGAAATAGAAAAAAATCTAATTTAAAATGACAAGAGTTGGGATAAAAAAATATGAACAATAATATCTCATACTTGTAAAATAAAAACATAAATTATTGCTTTGAAATTATCCAAATTATATATCTGTTTAAAATGAATATTGGTGTCACATGATTTAATGGCATAGCTTTCGTAAGTTGTTAAAAATAAAACAAATATTCATTATCATGGTAAAAATGTCTTAATTGAACAATTAATATACAAATTTTAAAGCGTAAAAATTTATATTATAAATAAATAAATAATATTATAAGAATATTAATCAGATTCACTTGATATTAAGATAGTAAAATAAGTTGTACGTTTAGTCCGTAAAAATGCAATAGGATGAATTGTCATATTCAAGACAAATTACAAATTTTAATTTATCAATATTTTTTTATGTGTTTTCTAAATACACCTTTAATTATATTATTTTTTTTAATTTGTATTCATTAATTAATATTTTATTAGATAAATTAAAAAATTACTATATTATATGTTAAATATTTAATTATAATTTATAATTAAAATTTAATTAGTTAGTATTATGATTTAAATTATAATATTTTGATTTATTTGTATATTTAATAATATAACATAAAAAAAATATATAATATTTTTAATTTTAATATATAAATAGTTTTAAAAAATGGATTATCTTGTTTTGACGCGACTAATTGAGATATCAGATAAAGTCAAACAAAATAAATTCATAAATTAAAACTACTAATATATTTAGTCAAGATCAGACCCATTTTATTATCTATTTGAGAAAGTAGTTTCTTAAATACTTAAAAGAAGAATTGAAAGAATAAGTTGTTTTTTGATAGATGAGTTTTTTTTATAATGTTTTCTATATCTTTAATTATATTCATCTAATATTAATTATACTTATATTAAAATATAAAAATTATTTTATATTGATCATATTAATTCTTTAAAATTATAAACTTAAACAAACATATTTAATTTTAATAAAAAAAAATATTAAAACATGCTTACATCAATTAAACTATCTTTTATATATATATATATATATATATATATATATATATATATATATATATATATATATATATATATATATATATATAAGTGTGTGTGTGTGTGTTTTGTATCTTTTTTTTCATTTTTTCTCTTTATAAAATATTATTATACTTGTGGTAAATATTTGTTTAAAATTTGTATTATTTTAAAATCCTTAGATTCTTATTAACTTAGTTAATAGCACATTCATTTTTTTCAACACAAATAATAATTATATAGAGATGTTTAACCAGACAGCCTAACTCAGTTTGACTTGATCATAAGGGACAAGTAAAAAAAATTGATGGTTCAAACATACTTATATTTTAAAATAGGAAAAACATATAAAATTTTATATTGATTGCATTTTTTTTAATATTAACATATTTATACAAAATCAATTAATTTAAATAAAATAACAAATATTTTAAAATTTTAAATTTTATTAATAAAGTTAGTTTTTTTTAAGATATTATAATTTAATATATAAATTATAAGAGAATATACCTATTTAATTTTAAAATAAAAATTAAAAACTTGCTCTTTATTATCATTATCTATTTTTAATAATTTATTAATTTAAAATAAGAACTAATATTAATAATTAAATATTAAAATAAGCGATCATTAGATATTTATTCTGATATTTACTCTAAGAATTAGTGAATCTCTATCAAATTAATTTATAATACATATATTTTTTAATAAAATAATATTATTTTTATTTTTATTTTTATTTAAAAAATTATTATTATTCTATAAAACAAGTTAACTCATAAACCTATAGACTAGCCTGACCTAAACTCTTATAGGTCATGACTTAAATAGATCAGGTCAAAATATGTTTGATTCAATTTAGATCACAAATATTTTGGACTAGCTACCTACTTCTCGGACCTTTTAGGTCGACCCATTAGGTTAATCCTATTTTGACACCCGTATAATTATATATTCAAGTTCATATTCATAAGTTGGTATTTGAGTCAACACTTTTCTTTCTTGAAACCTTTTAGACTTTTAAAATAGATAGTATATATATATATGTAATTATTTTTTAAAATTTAAATATAAATAATTTTATAAATATAAATAAAATTTATTTTTTATTCTAATTTTTTATTTATAATAAATATTATATTTATTCTCTCACATAATTTCTCACTTAAAGTTTTTTTCTCTTTCTTCAGTCAATATTCATATTTTTTGTTTTTTCGTTAGACAAATAACATCTAGAGGGGTGAATAGATGTACAACTTAAAATAGATGTCAAATTAAAAAGTTATTTGTGAGTCAATAATTTGTTTGAACACCGGAAGCGATAATATAATCAGAAAAGAGAAAGAGATAAGGGAAAGAGAAGAGCACACAGATATTTATACTGGTTCGGGTATAACCAACCCTACATTCAGTTCTCAGTCAACTCTTAACACAAGAGTGACTTCCAATTCACTATCTTTCAAATTCAGTTTACAAATTACAATCAATTTAGCAGAAGAACCAGTAAAAAGTAAATTAATTAAAAAGACAATCATCTCCTTAGAAACCCACTAAGGATGAACACCTCCCTAGAATCCCACTAGGGATAAACACCCCATCTGAACAAATCAAAGAATGAAAAACACCTCCTTAGAATCTCACTAAGGATGAACACCTCCCTAGAATCACATTAGGGATGAAAAGTACCTCCTTTGCCACCAATACACAAAGGATGAAGGTAATAAAAATAAGAATAGTCACACCTGGGTAATGGAGACAACAAATTGTAGAAACCTGTAGAATGTCAATCTCCAATAGCAAGTGTGATTAACAATTAGAGCACAAAAGACAGTAGAGAAAAGGGTTTTCTCAGAAGGTGTAAAATATCTCTGTTGTCTTGCTTAGAATTCTTTTCTCAAAACTGATTGAATGAAAATTGTATTTTTGAATTCTGTAATTGTGTGTTTTTTATTTATCAAAACTTAATTAAATAGAAAAATAACATCAGAAAATGACTGTTGGACATTAATATTTTCATGAATAAAAATTAGGATATATTCAAAAACATTTATTCTTCAAAACAGATATATTTTTCAAATTTGAATTGTCATAATTGATTATGTTACCAATATAATCAATTATGATAAAGAAAATCATTTTTCCATTTTTGATGCATCATAATTGATTATGACAGAGAAAAATATCATGTTATGAATTTTATCACACTTGTGTTTCGGAGGCTTATGCATAATATTACTTCATCAACTTGTACCTCCATATCCAGTATTCTAAGACTCTATCTAGTCTTCAAGAATCATCTTGGATTTGCTTGAATAATCATCTTTATCAAAAACATATCTTGGCCATATAAGGAAATGTTTCACATTTTCACCAACGTCTTAAATTCAGTTTGTCCTTAATTCATCTTTAATGGTGTTAACTTGAATGTAGTTGACTTGAATCATCATCAAAATCATCTCTTGGGAATGTAGGGACATTTCCATCAATATTCCCCTCATTGCTTTCATTTTCTTCCCACCTTTTTATTTTCCCACTTCATTCTTTATCATTAGTTCACTTTGTATTTTCACATTTTTATATCTTTCTTTATCATCCATTCACTTTTATATTATTCTCTCTCATTATTTTACCTTTTAAAATAAAATTTGTAAGTTTTCCTCTTTCGTATTCAAATTTTTCTTTTTTATATTTTTATCTTTATTGCATAAAAAATAGTTTTTTTTTCTTATGTCCACATTGAAGACACAAGACAATAAATTAAAAAATATAGAAGATATCTTACAACAATTTTTAAAAAATAAAGAAATAGTAAATAAATTAATTTTTATTATTATAATAAGTTAGTACGTGTAGTGTAGTATAAAAATATGAAATATTAATGTGTTTTTTATTTATTATAAATTAGTTAGTTATTTTTATGTTTATGATGTTTTATTTTAATGTTAAAATATGAAAAAAAAGATTGAATTTTAAAAATATCTAAAAAGAAAATTATAAAAATATTTTTTAAGAGAAAATAGATGATAAATCATGAAAAAAAAATTACTTTTTAAAATTTAAATTCAATTAGTAATATTAAACATGTTGATAAATATTTTATATAATATATTTATTTTTATATAATAATTAATTTTTAGATGTTGGTTTGTGGATAGAATGAAGTCTAAATTATTGAGAATCAGACGGGTTACTGTTGTTTATTTCAATGGGGTTTTTAATGCGACAATCAGCGTCCTTTGATCCAACTATGATATTTGCTAACAATATGCATATTATAGAAAGAGAAAAACTCTCTTGTAAATGACAAGATGAAACCATATGCAAAATCACAAGATAGATACGGAAATTGATATGGAAAAATCAGAAAGAAAAAAAGATAATTATTATTGGATCTAAGTGTAAATTAAAATATAACATGTATAATTTAAAACGTTAAACAATATATAAATGAAAAAAAACCTATCAGATTTTTTTAAAAAACATTGTCATATTTTTTTACATAATAATATTTATGAATATTTTTCAACCAAGATATTATAAAGCGATATTTATACTTTTTAACTGTAGTGGATTTATAAAGTACTCTGCTAAAAATATTTTATGGAGATTTGAAATTTTTTTTTCAATGATTAGATTATTTAGTCCTGAAAAACCATGAAGATATTATTACATAGATGATTAATTTAATGACTAAGGATTTGCATACTTCTTGTCAAATTACATATTACTTTTAAACAAGTTTGTAAAGAGTATACTCAAGGAACTGATTAAAAGATTTAAAAGAAAATTTTATGCATTGATTAATAGGAACGTAGCATGTCGTGCAACTTTATATTTAGATAATGTAATCTTAAGCAGTGTTAATAGTGATTGTTTCAATATGTTCATGAGTCTCATATCACTTAGAAGTCGAGACTAATGGTAGATTAAATACACATTTCTCTCTCAATCCAATGAGACATCTTTTAAAAATAAAATTGTGATGGACGAGAGTTCCAAAGCGGACAATACCTCGAATGTAGGGAATTGACAAAAATGATGTTATTATAGCGAACATAACACTGGGACACGCAACATTGGTGCCTACCGTGGGGGCTGAGAGTAGAGTTTTGCTCTATTCATATCCCCTTAGTCCTCGACTAGGAGACTTATGTTCTTGTACACTCATGAGTTTTACATCGCTTAAGAGTCCAGATTAAAAGTAATTTATATACATCTTCCTCTTCTAACCCACGGAGACGTCTTTTAAGGACAAAATCGTACACTCATGAGTTTCACATCGCTTAGGAGTCGAGATTAAGAGTAGTTTATATACATCTTCCTCTTCATATCCCACAAAGACGTCTTTTAAGGGCAAAACCGTGACGGACGAGAACTCCAAAACAAATAATACATTGGACGTGAAAATTAACCTTAATTATGTTATCATATCAGAAATGAAGTCGGGACACTCTCGTTCTTAGACAACTATTATTTCTAAAATAAATACAAAGAATAATATATTGAAATAATATGTGCTCTAACATTAAGTACAATAATATACTAATAAGGTTTCTAATACTATGCCACGATAATTGATTTTTAGATTATAAATCATATCTTTTTTTACTATAGATAAGTCACCTAAATCAAATCATCTTTTAAAAAATATAATTTTATTATAAATGAAAATTAAAACTTAATTATTGATAAAGATATTGAAATCTACTTATATTTTAAATTTATTGGTTGTTGTTTCTTTAAATTTTAATATTTTTTTTCAAATAATCAATATTTTATAGCAATAATTTTTTTACCTAACTGTTGTCAAGGACATTTAATAAAATTATTTATACATGATATCAAAGAGATATTTGACTATGTATAGCTGTAAAGAGTAAATAATTTGAAATATTTTTATTACGGTCATATCTCAATTGAATATTTTAAAAAATATTTATTTATTTAAAAAGTATAGTATTTCTAGTCTTTATTATGATAGTTTTAAACTTGCAATTGAGTTATAAAATTTTATTTTTATTAATTTTAAATAAAAGTTAACAATCTTTTATAAAGATATATTGATACGTGTGGTTCATCGAAAAAGATAAATTTAGTTAGTTTGTTATTTTTAGTGATAATTATACTATAATGACTTAATTATGCTTAATAAAATCTAAGAGTGAGGTTAATTTATTTATTTCAAAAAAATTATAAAAAGATAAGAAATCAATATAATATTTAAATTTAAGTTTTATATAGTGAAAATGATGAATAATATACAAAATTTAATCTTCAAGAAGCTAATAAAATATTTAATAAAATTACTTTTTCTAATACACTCCTAAAAATATAGGATACTGAGAGCAAAATTTTCACATTTACTTAAGTTTTCCATACTTTACTAATTGAGACACATGTATCATTAGGTTATTTCAAATAAACTTACTTTTTAATAAATTAGCCTCTTGTTGTATTGAATTTTTTAAAACTTTTTCAAACTCTCATTAATTTAAGCATAGCATCAATTGTTCTCAATTTACCAAATCATAACTATATCAAGTTTTGCATTATTTATTCTCATAAATATCAACACAATAAGTTAACCCTTGCACATTCAAAATGATTTTGAAGACTATATTACATGCAAAAAAAGTTAGAAATATTTCCATATTTTCATTATATGTTTATATATGTAATTTTCCATGTAGGTATATTATATATTTGTCTATGAGTCTGAATTGAAGATAATCAATGAGAAATCTTGAGATGGTAAGATTATGAAATGTTTTTTATATGGATCTAAGTAATGCAACTTCATATCATTAACTTTTAAGAGATTACGAGGTGAATCCTTTTATTAAAAAATTTGAACCTAACATTAAAGTAAGACATAAATCTGTTATTAAAAATAATTATTAACACCAAGATAAACACCAAAATTAATTAAGTTAAATTATCATTGACAAACATAAGCAGTGGAATATTGACATGGTCATTTTTTGGTCCACTAAATGACTTGGTCATTTGTTTGGTCATGACAAGGACATTTTTTATCCATTAAATGACTTGGTGACTTGTTAACCATGTAGGTAGATTCTAAAGTTAATATTGGTTTGATCATCTGGTTGTTAGAATTTGCTCCATGAAGATAATATTAAATACATTAACCTTTTAATGAAAAGTTATTAATAATTTATTGATCAGAAAAATAATTATTATTTATTAAAAATAATTCTAAATTATATTTCAATTTGAATTCTGTAGTAATCTAAACATCAAATCAGTCATTATGTATAAAATAAAAAATTATCAATCAGTTATATAATTTCGTTATTCCTAATAATTTGGTAAAAGTCTTAATTCGTATAAGATGAAAGACAAAAAATAAATTTACTTTAAAAAAATAAAACTTGAACCCCAATTTGATTATCCACCAAGAAAAATGTACACTGTTAAACACAAAACAAATGATATCAATAGAATAATTTAAAGTACATTTTATGACAATAATATATTCAATTATAAAAACATTTGTTTTTGTAACAATGGTTTAAGTGTTATTGTCTTTGACATTAAACTTGGATTGAAATTAACACTCTGTCTTCGACATCAAACTTAAACAGGTGATTGAAGTAATTTTCGAAGTAAAACATAATTTGATTAAGGTTTGTATAATAATAAAATATAATAATTTTTGATTAAGGTTTGTATAATAATAAAACATAATTTTCGAAGTAAAACTTAAAATATTATTATATAATATTTGATTAAGGTTTGTATAATAATAAAATATAATAATTTTTTAATAATTTAATTAATTGCACATATTTGTAAAAATTTATATATTTATATTTATATATTATAAATAGATTTTAGATATTTTATAATAAAAAATAAAAATTCATTCCAATATATTTTTTAGAATATTTAAATATAATTTTTAATAAAAATATATTTTATTTATTCTTGCCTTTCAGGGAACGAGGACACAAAACTTAAAAATAATAATAATAAAAAAAGTCTCCCGCGCCCACACCTGGCCGAATCGATATGGTAATGGCACTATTGAATGTTGATACGATGCCGTTCCCCTCTTTAATGCAATAGTGGTGAGTGAGGGTTTTACTACCTTCACACTTTACTACAACGCCACTCACCTCAAAACCCTTTTCTTCCAAGTACAATTCTCTTCCTTATCTTTTTTTCTTTTTTTTTTCATTCCCCAATCTTCATACATTTCTTTTATCGTCTTTTTTTTTTAATGGTCAATTTTTTCTTCAACTCTGCGTATTATCATTCCATTCTTTTAACTCCCCAAACCGTCGCAAAATTTCTTTTATCATTTTCTTCGCTTGCAAACCTAATCGCCACCAATTTCCGGCTTAATATAGCCATGGGCCTGGGAATTTATACGGGCCCAAATACTTCTATGCTGTTTTGTGCTTACAGATTATTTCTTCACTTCACCCATGTATAAAGATTTTTCTGATATTCATATATTAAATTTGATGTGTTAGGTAATGTTTATGAGTTTACTATTACTAGGGGCAGGTTGAGAATCGTGGTCCCAAACATGATGCATTCTGTAAGGGGTGGCTTGGTGCAAACTTTTGCGCTTGCCAAGCATAATGAATCTGAAGGGAGAAAGACTCGAATTCGGCGCTCTAAAGAGGAAAGGAAGGCAATGGTGGAATCCTTTATAAAGAAGTAATGCTTATTAGTTTCAAGCTTTCACTTTACCAAGACTTAAGTATTTTATTTAAATTTGGATTGGAAGTTCTTCTCTGATCATTGTGACTGATTTTGTTTTACATATTATTAAATTTGGTTATTTAATGATGTAATCTTATACATACTATACTTGTTGTTTTCATCTTTACCTGCTGTTTAATTTTCAGATCATATTTTTATATTAACAAGGGTGAGTAGAGCATTTAAACTAATTTAATTTTATATCCTAATGAGTTTAGTTTAGTTGATGCCTTATAAATCATCCCGTCCAAATTCCCCAATATTGGAGGGTAACATAAATTAGATGATAAGGTATTTTACTCCCCCTCCATTTTTCTCTTCTCTTACAAATTGAACCAAACAGTGATATCCCTTGCCTTCCCTCCATTTCACCCCAATTAAAGACTATGTTAACCAAATTATTTGAAGGAATGAAAATTTTCTTTATTCAACCTTTGAATTCGGACTCATCATTTGAGGTACTTGTGTAATTATCAGTTTTGTAAATTTGATTCAAGAGAAACAACAATGTTGCTTATTATATTGTTATTTGATGTTTAATGCCAATGTAATTACTTTGTGTCACATCTATTTTTGTCACCTGTTTAACATGTGGTGCAAAATGGATAATTGTTTCCTGTTCAATTTTACTAATACAATTGATGCATGATTTTTTTTTTTTTTTTTACAACTATCTTTACCTTTAATAAATGTTTATTTGGTAAACTTTTATTCACAGACCTTTTTGTATTTATGTATTCTCTCTGATACCAAACTACTTCTAATTTTCTGATCCACTATTGTTATATTACATGCTTAAAAAGTTGAATACTTGAACTATTTGGTTTGCCATTATTCTTTTTAGTCGTTGTAAGTCACACTTCAGATACGTGTTTTGTTAGTGATTTGTTAAATGCATCACTTGTATTTACTATCTTTTTTCTTGTCTCTCTAGGTACCAACATTCGAACAATGGAAACTTCCCATCACTTAATCTTACACATAAAGAAGTTGGTGGCTCTTTCTACACAGTACGGGAGATTGTACGTGATATAATTCAAGAAAATAGAGTGCTGGGTCCTGCTAAGTTCACCTTAGAAGAGCTAAACGCTGATCAATTTTTTGAACAAAATCCACTGGGTTCAATGGCTAGAAATCCTGAATCTTTCTTGGCTTCAATTGAAAATCATTGTGAACCTGACAAGCCTCAGGATACAAATAAAAAAATGATTTCTGTTTCTGATGTGTCTTATACTGAAGTTCTGCACCAGGTGGTTGACAAAGAGCACGTCATAAGTGTTGGGCAGATAGATGTGACAAACAAGGAACCTATTGAAGAGGCTGTTGTTGCTGATGGGCCTGACAAAGTGCATACCATGAATATTAGCCACTTAAATGTTCCGAACAATGAAACTGTTGAAACTGCTGTGATTTCTGATGGATGTTGTACTGGAACTAAGCACAAAATTATTGACGTCGGGCATGTCTTAAATGGTAGCCAGGTGAATATAGCGAACAAGGAATTAAATGAAACTGCTGCTACTGGGAAGCATGCAATTGATCCTTCTGCACTCAAACAGAAAGTTGAACCAGAGTTGTTAGCTGCTACAACACCAATGGCTAAAGTAAATGCTGCGACAGAAGACTTTATAGTAGAGACATTTCCACAAAGCTCTGTTTCCATGACTACTGATGGAATAAGAAGTTCTGGAGGGTTGACGGACTCAAGTAATTCACCAGAAAATGATATGAAAATGATGGAATTAAGACAAGGCGAGGAGAAGTCTGAATTAAATGGTTTAGAGCCCTCAAAGAATTTGGACTTATTGGACGAGAAATTTGAGGATGTCACTGGAAATCAAAGATTAAAGAACACCTCTAACACTGGACTTGGTAAGGAGGATAATATACGAGATATATTAGAAGAAAGCTCCAATCATTCTATCGTCAAAGATCATTATGAATTTAAAGATCGCACTGATTCTCAAGTTGCAGTATTTCATAAAAATACCATAACCATCGACCAGAGCCAGAAAACAGATGGAGATAAGGTATTTAAAAATTTTCACATTTATTGCACTTCTGGGTTTTATGTCTGTGTTTAGGAGGAGAGGTGTGTAGTTTATATGATCTTGGTAAAATTGTCTTTAGAAGAAAGAAAATCGGATACTACTTGTTATGTGTCAATTTTGTGGTTTCTCTTTCATCTTCAGCTACTGGATTAACTGGTTTGCATTTTTCTGAAAAGACTAAGCTTCGTGGATCCCATAAATAATAAACTATAGCTAGTAACTACTTTTCTGATGCTTATTTGAGGGGAAATGTCCATGTAACATTTAAATGTATTCTTACAGACAAGCACTCAAACCAATAACGTCAGCCAGACTTGTAAGCCATCAGAGGAAGATGGTGGCCTGCTAAACGCCGATAAACTAAAGGTTGATGGTCAACTTGGTGGCAACTCTCAGAGAAGCGGCACAACTGTGGATAGGATATATCTGTAAGTAATATCTAAATTGATTTGATCACAAATAATATGCATATTTTACTTCCATTTTATTATAGAAGTGAAATTGATTTGGTTATTTACGAACATCTAATTGGCCCTTTCTATGTTTTTTTACTGCAGAGAATCCTGGGACGGAGCAGCAAAGAATTCAGCAAATCGAGAACCCAACCCTCTTTTAGCTGCTTTGAAAGTTTTAGTTGATGCTTTTGTAAAATTTTGGTCGGGATGAAGATTTTAATGTTTGTTTCTTTCTCTTCTGTTGTGTTATCTATAGTGTTGGTGGAGTTGATGTCTTTACCTAACAGAACAATTTTGAGTAGCCTTGATCATTTATTGAGCTCATCATTTTTCTTTTCCTTTTTAAATTACATCTTGTTTTCATACATGGCCGTTGGAAGTCTATGTATCTTTTTTTCCTTTTGAAAATAAAAATTATATATATATATATATATATATATATTATGAAACAAAATCAAGGCGACGGAACGACGCCGTCTCATGATCAATTGAATTCAGTTCTATTTAGTTGTAGATTCAGAATTCAATTCAGTTCTATTTCATTTCAGAATTTAGTTGTAGATTCAGAACTCAATGTCAGACTTCTTTCCCCGTGGAGTCCTTCAGGAAATCCTTCGCAGACTTCCACCAAAGACCCTTCTCAGATTCACCATCGTCTGCAAGTCATGGCGCTCCCTCATCACCCACCCATCCTTCATCTCTCTCCACCACCGTAACTCCCCCTCCTTTCTCTTCCTTCAGTTCAGCAACCACTTCATTCTCCCCCACCGCCACTCCTCCACCGCCCCCGCCCTCCGCCTCCCCTCCTTCCCACACTACGATTTCCCCAATGTTTCCTTCTGCAACGGCCTCCTTTGCATGGCCTACGGTTACCAATGCCAACATGTCATCGTTTGCAACCCATCTGTTCGACGATATGTCACCCTTCCCGCACCCCTCCAGCTCCCTTGCTTCTACACTGCCAACATCGCCTTAGGCTTTGATCCCAGTAAATGTGATTACAAGGTGGTCAGAATTTCTTGCATGGTGGATGACGAAAGGTTCGGCCTTTCTGCTCCCGAGGTTGAGGTTTGCTCTCTTGCAACTGGGTCTTGGAGGACCCTTGATCACGGCATTGCTCCTGTCTGCTACCTCGGTGAAGGTACTTCCCATGGATTTCACGATGGGCTTGTTCACTGGGTTGCTAAACGCTGCGTGGCTGGTGCTTGGTTCAATTTTGTTTTGTCCTTTCACTTTGAGGGTGAGATGTTTGGTGAGGTTATTCTACCTGAGAGCATGGCTCGTGCCTCTCTGGATGCACTTGTGGTTAAGGTTGTTGGAGGTGGCATTGGAAAGAATCTTACTGTGTTCCGTGTGGGTGGGGGTTCTCCATGTTCTTGTGACATATGGATAATGAAAGAGTATGGTGTGGTGAAGTCTTGGAACAAGGTCTTTTCTTTTGTTATGAACGGATTTTGTTTGGAAGCACCGTCTTTGGGGATGAGGTTCACTGACGTGGAAATTCCACCGATAGCATTGTGTGTTACGTGCAGTGGAGAGGTGTTGCTGCTCATGGATGTGGCAGGAAGGAGATGCCTGTATTCGCTGGACATAGAGAAGAAAACTTTTACGGACGTTCAAATTGAAGTAGACACAGGGTTTATTTATTCTGGTTATTATGCTGAGAGCTTACTCTTACTGAATAAAGCAAGTGGCGTAGTGTCTTATTGAAAAGGTAATGTCATTCCAATCCGATACTCATGCAATATATGTGTTATTATTGACTTATCATGTCTACGTGTGTTGCTTTCTCAATGGGAGTTAAACCATTCCTATTACAAGGAGTGTAAATCAAGTCTTTATCATTGTTTCTTGTTTGTGGATTCCAAGTACCGTTGTACCAACTGGTTTTCTGCTAGTAGAATAGTAGCTATTAGACATGTTCTGCTTGCTTTGAATTCTAAACAAAAAAATTGTCTGTCAACTTATTAGAGATGGTGTGGTGCCATATATTTAATTCATCATTATAGTGTTTGACCAAATTATGTCAGTTTGTTGTGGTAATGAGAGATTGTCTACACAAACTCTGTCATTCTATTTCTAGTCTTGAATTGCTTGCAGTTTTGTTAAGTTTATCATTTCAAAGAAAATAAAAAATTGTGGAAGGTTAAGGAATAACTAAGTCAAATTTGATGGCAATCATGAGAGTTTGTTCAGGAGATTTTTGTCTGTTATCTATCCGAAGTCCCTGACCTATGAAAAAGTCATATATGTGGAAATGTATTTATGGTTGTATGTGTTTATTTAGACTTGATATTCAAAACAGAGAAAAAGTGTTTTTAGAGGGCTTAAAGAGCCCTCTCATGGTTCTCTATTTATATAGATAAAACCTGTTGCAATAGGGAGATTATATTAAATGCAGTCCTAGACTACTCCTCAGAACTAGGTGCAAAGATTATCTAACACTCAACCCCCTACCTTAGGTATAATGATTACATATATTTTCTAATCTATTCCAACACTCCCCCTCAAGCTGGAGCATACAAATTGTATGTACCAAGCTTGGAACAGATGAACTCAATCCGAGGTCCCCTTAAGGACTTGGTAAACACATCTGTGAGTTGGTCATTTGATCCAACAAACTCGGTACATATTTCTTTTGTCAACAACTTTCACGAACAAAGTGACAATCAATTTCTATATGTTTAGTTCTCTCGTAAAACACGGGATTTGATGCAATATGGAGAGCAACTTGGTTATCGCAATACATTTTCATAGTCTGGATATCACAGAAGTTAAGCTCTTGAATGAACTGCTTCACCCATATAAGTTCACAAGTTAGTAACGCCATTGCCCTATATTCAGCTTCAACTGTCGATCGAGCCACTACATTCTGTTTCTTACTTTTCCATGAAATAATTTTTCCTCCAAGGAAGACACAATATCCAGTAATAGACCGTCTATCAACAGGTGAACCTGCCCAATTTGCATCATAGTACCCAGTGACCTGAATGTTTCCTCTATCTTCATATAACAATCCTTGCCCAGGAGCCTTTTTAAGGTACTTTAGAATGCGAATGATAGCATTCCAATGGCCAACACATGGAGCCTGCATGAATGGACTAACCACACCAACTGCAAAAGATAAATCAGGCCTTGTAATAGTGAGATAAATCAATTTTCCAACCAACCTCCTATATCTCTCTGGATTAGAGAATACTTCACCTTTTTTGTTGTTAATTTCTGATTTGGGTCCATAGGACTATCTACAGGTCTAGAGTCAATCATACCTGTTTCTTGTAATATATTAAGAGCATATTTTCTCTGAGAGATTACAACTCCTTCTTTTGATTGAGCTACTTCAATGCCCAAGAAGTATTTTAGACTTCCATAATCTTTGGTTTGAAAATGTCTGCACAAGTACTCCTTCAGTTGAGATACTCCAACAATATCATTTCTTGTAATGACTATATCATCAACATATACTATTAAGTAAACACATTTACCCAGAGATGTATGACAGTAAAAGACTGAATGATCTGCTTCACTGTGTCTTAGCCCAAATTTTTGAACAATGGAGCTAAATTTTTCAAGCCAAGCACGTGGTGATTGCTTGAGGCCATATAGAGAGCAATGCAATTTGCATATCAGTCCAGACTCCCCATGAGCAACAAACCCAGGTGGTTGCTCCATGTAAACTTCGTCCTCAAGATCACCATATAGGAAGGCATTTTTGATATCTAATTGATGAAGTGGCCAATGACGAATGAGTCATTGCGAAGAATAGACGAATAGTAGTCATCTTGGTCACGAGAGAGAAAGTGTCACAATAATTAAGGTCATAAACCTGAGTGTACCCTTTTGCAACTAACCGAGCCTTGAGTCGATCAACTTCACCATCAGGACCGACTTTAACAGCATACACCCAACGACAACCAACTACCTCTTTGCCCGGTGGAAGGGGCACGAGCTCCTAAGTAGCATTATGGTCAAGAGCCTGCATTTCTGCAATCATGACTTGTCGCCATCCAGGATGATCAAGTGCTTCTTCCACATTTTTCGAAATAGCAATAGAAGATACTGAGGATAAAAGAGAACAATAGGCAGGCGAAAATCTGTGATAGCTAAGAAAATTATAAATAGGATGTGGGTTCCGAGTGGAACGAGTACCTTTTCTGAGAGCAATGAGTCATCCTGAATCACCTTCACCAGGAGTCATGGTAAGAAGCAATGTTGGAGAAGAATCAAAAGTGGGGGATTCACCCTCTTCTTGGATAACAGGACTAGTCATCGGGGTCCTATGATTGACAATATCAATGTGAGGGAATGATGGTTCAGGAAGACTTGGATCACAACTGAGATCGATAGAGACATTGGAAATATTAGCCTCAACCACTAGAATGGGAAAGACTTGCTGGATGACATGAGCATCTTGAACAGAAGGAGAAAAGTAAGGAGTTTGTTCAAAAATTGTAATATTGGCAGACATATAGTACTTCTTGGTTTCAGGAGAGTAACACCGATACCTTTTTTGAAGGCGAGAATAACCCAAGAAGACACATTTGATAGCACGAGCAGAAAGCTTGTCTAACCCTGGAGACATGTCATGAACAAAACATACACAACCAAAAACTCGAGGAGAGGTGTGAAAGAGAGGATTATTTGGAAATAGAACAGAGAAAGGGACCTTATTACTGAGAGAGGAAGATGACATCCTGTTAATAAGAAAACATGCCGTTAGATGGCATCCACCAGTGATGGACTGGAATATGGGCAACCAGCAAAAGGGTATGTGCAGTTTCAACCAAATGTCTATTTTTTCTTTCTACTATACCATTTTGATGTGGTGTATGAGGACAGGTGGACTGATGCAATATTCCATTTGAACTCAAAACAGCAGAAAATGTGGATGAGAAGTACTCTTTAGCATTGTCACTTCTTAAAATTTTGATTACTTGACCAAATTGATTTTTGATTTCATTCAAAAAGGATGTAAAGATGAGTAGCAATTCAGAACGATCTTTCATAAGATAAACCCTAGTGCATTGTGGATATTCATCAATGAATATAACAAAATACCGAAAACCAAAAGATGAGATGCGACTGGGTCCCAAATATAAGAATGGATAATAGAGAAACTGGAAAGACACTTTGATTGAGACCTTTTAGGAAAGGTAGATCTAACATGTTTTCCTAGTTGACATGACTCACATTCTAAGGTCTGGAGACCACTAAGTTCAGGACACATTCTTTTTAATTTTGACAAATGAGGATGATCAAGCCGGTCATGTAACATTTTAGGGCTCGGAGTAGCAACACAGGACACACGTGGACGAGGGCCAAAAAGGTATAATCCTCCAACTTCATATCCTTCTCCAATCCGTCTCCCCGAACCACGCTCCTGTATAACAAAAGATTTGTTATCGAAGGTTATTAAACAATTTAAGGTTTTGGTTAACTGGCTTAAGGAAATTAAATTGAAAGGACAATTAGAAACAAAAAAGACAAATTTTAGGCTTATGGAGGGAGACAAGGAAACTTGGCCCACTCCCTTTGAGGAAGCTTTAGAACCATTTGCAAGGGTTATGAAATGCTGTTTTTCTTGAAAGGAAATGGTTGAGAACAAGGAGGTATTACCAGATATATGATCAGAAGCACCAGAGTCAATTACCCATGAATTTTGACCCTCCACAGATTGAGAAATGCAAGTCGTCGATGTGCTGGGAGGTTGAGAGGTTTGTGCCAAGCTATTAGACTTCAACCATAGATACTCTTGGTATTCGTCCTCAGTGAACTTGGAGTTAACGGTTTCAGCCTTCGAGATATTGGCGGTTTTGGGAGGAAAACCATGCAAGGAGTAGCAGTTCTTCTTCCTCTTACTGTAGGTGCATTGGGGACGTCCTCAACTTCCACGTCCTCCTCCTCTGGTGCCACATCCTCCTCTTCCTCGTGTGGCAACCATGGCAGATGGATCTACTAGAGCAAGAGCTTCCTGAGTTTCAAGCATCGGTACACGAATCAGGTGTGTAATTAGGGTATCCATGGAAGGGACATCATGAGTGGTCAGAAATTGATCTCTAATATGGTTAAAGTCAGGATGTATTGCCCGAAGGATCATAACCATGTAATACTTGTCAAGCTTCTTCTTCATTTCATCCAAGGAGTCAACTTCCAAGAATATCTTTAGTTCTTCCACAGCTGACTGGGCGTCATTTATGAAGGACACCATATCATGATCTATCATTTTTAGAGATGCCAACTTATTTGCGGAATCATAAAGACGTTGGATATCATTGACATAAATAGTTTGAGCTCTCTTTCAAAAAGAGTGACAAGTTTTGAAGGCTCTAAGCGATATCAACAGTCTGTGGCTCTAAGCCACAACATAGTTGAAAATATGCCTATTTCCACTGTTCAACTTTTTCTTCCGGTACATGGCTTCCATCTTTTTCAAGGTGGTCGTGATGTCCCTGACCAAGAAACCATATTTCGACGACAACAAACCAAGATAGATAATTTTGTCCGTTTAGCTTTTTAGAAGTGATGGAGGGGCTTCCAAAGAATGAAATTGCAGTCATTTCTGATCAACAGGACAAAAACTAGTGAGGGGGTGCGAAAACAACAAGGAAAGTCGAAAGCCCAAGAGTGATTTTCACAAGGGTGACTACTGGACTTCACCAAAATGAAGTTCTGAGGGCCAGAACAGGGAGAGGAAGCTCTGGTGATCCTAA